AATATTGTATAAATAAAATAGAATAAAATAAATTTTCATGTATAAAAATAAATATAAAAATACATATATGTATATAAATAATAATTAATCTGTTCATCATAAAAAAAATGTTTTTGAATTATAAATTTTAAGATAATCAGGCAATCAGGTTCTGGCAAGATTTGCCACTTATACTTTTAAAATACTAGCTTTTGAGCAACCATTTTCCTAACATTTAAAAAATTAAACTTTCTTTTATTTAATTACAATCAAGGACCACTTTGATACTATTCTGTAGATTATTCAAAAGCTGTTAAAAAAATAAATAAATGATTATTGTGTTTCATATTTATTTTTAATTAAACTATTAAATACATTTGTCAAAATACTTTTGAGCGCTACTGTACATTAAGATATTTAAAATTGTAACTATGCTACTCTTTCTGAATGTACTAAAACATTTTTATTTACTCAAGCTATACTTCAAATTTTAATTACATTATTTACGGATAATACAAAATTTTTATTCTTAAGCGAATACTTCTAATCTTAATTTTATTATTTACGTAAAAGAAAATTTTATGTAAGTATTCACTTCTTGCTATTTGCCTTGGCATTTAAATTCAATAAATAAATAAATAATTGATTTTTTGAGAACATTTTATTTTTTTGATTAAAATAAAATTGCAAGTGTCAAATAACTACGCCAGTATCAATAACTGGGTCTTTTATCTTATTAAATGTATTTTATTTTTTATATAATTTTTAGAAAAATTTTTAAATAAACTATTACAAAGTTTTTACAATAATTAATAGTATTTTTTTCTGATATTTTATTTTATCTAAAAATCTATTTGAAATCTAATAAAAAAAATTTTTAATTACAAAAATATATTTATAACAGCCTATCTTAATATTAAGGTCCATAATAGTACGCCGTTTTACTATTTAATATATGTAATGATAATTTCTCCCGAGTATTAGGTTTGCTTTAACATTACTTGAGTTGTAACTACTGTTGTAGTTAGTGAAGCTCCGCTAGGTGGCTAGAGTGATATTTTTTTTCCGCCTCTACATTCTTATTTTAAACTTTTATATTCTATTAAAGAAGGATATTTCGACAAGATCATACTTCACAGGATCATTTCTGTAGTATATCTTCACATCCTCTCTACTCAATTGTGGAGTCGATACAGCCATGATGACGAGGTATAATCCTCTTCTCTGAGCGTGAGGACGACTGAAGACTTGACTTAGGTCGAGAATTCAGTCATCGATGATCGTTCACTTCTTGAACTTAGTTCAAGAAGCATGAGAAGTGGATATTCCGAGTGGTTACAAATTAATTCAAAAATAAATTTTGCTTATAGAATTCTGAAGTATTTACAAACTTGTAATATTTCAAAAATTTTCAAACTAAATTTTTAAATTTGTAAGTTTATTCTACAAAAATTGAAATTTTATTTTTTTTTTCTTTTTGCAAAATACAGTTTTTTACTTTAGCGTATTTTAATCTTGTAATTTTACCATTATTTTGTAAAAAATAAAATAAGCTAATTTTTTAAGTACATGCGTACAAAGATTAGTAAATTTAATAAATAAATCTTAATTAAATTTTTTTCGTGGACTTGATATTTAATTTTTAAATATTTTTTTATACTAAAAAGTACCTAAATTTATAAAAGTTGTAATTCAGCATAATAAATAGATAAAAAATTAATTAATTAAAGGTTTAGAAATAAATTTTTATTTTTATTTTTATTTTAATGAAATACAGATATTAGATCATTTAATTACAATAAAAGAATTTAAAGTGATAATTCAACATTGCTAATAAAAAATAATATTTTAAATGAGATCAAAATGATAATTGCAATTATTAATTATCATGTTGAAAAAAGCATTTTTAAATTCAACCAAAATTTCCTCAGTGCTATTGCTAAAAAATCTAATTTTTGAATTTCTTTATAAAACAAACCAGCAATTAAATAATCACTACAAAAAAAAATAATATTTTTTCAAAGAAATTATCCAATAAAATTTTTCTATTGAATTTCAACTTAAATAAATCTTTGGGAAGAACTCTCACGCGAAATTGTAAATTCGAGTAGCTTGCAAGTCTTTAAAAAAAAAGTTTTCAATTACTTATTAAATCTTGATATCTAAAACCTATGACTATAAAATCTATGACTATTTATTTAAACTAGATATTTAATAGTTTTTTTTTTTTTTTTTTTTACAAACTTTTCATGTAAACTTTTATTTAGTAAATTGGTTAAATCATGTATTATATTACTTGATGAATAAGTAAAATCGTGTATTATAATTCTAATACTTATTTATGGGGCATTCCATGCCAAATCGACCACTTTTGACACCGACCCTTTTCGATTTTTCTAAAATTTTGGTATCTTTCTCTACCCTATTGAAAACAATTTTCAGAATTTTTTCAAATTTTTTTACCCAACCAAAAAAAAAGTTACGAATTATTACAAAAAAACAGCTTTTTTTTGTTAAATAACCATAACTTTTTTGAAAAATGACTTTTTGGGATGTTTTTTTTTTGAAATTTTTGTCTTTAAATGTACTTTAAAAAAAAAAAAATAAAAATAATAATTCAGATTCATATTCAATGTTTTTTTTAACTTTTTGGAAAAAAAAACGAAAATTTCGGGATGATTGACATTTTTGATTTTCAATTTTTCTTTTTTATAAAAAACTTCAGTATTTTTTGCAAATTCCCTAAAATTTTCAAAGTGGTAAACTTTTTCTTTCTATTTTTTTTCAGAGTGGTATAACGAAAAACAAACATTTAAAAAAAAATTTTTTTCTTCATTAAAAAAAAAAAGAAAGAAAAATTTTACCACTCTGAAAATTTCAGGGAATTTGCAAAAAATACTGAAGTTTTTTAGAAAAAAGAAAAATCGAAAATCAAAAATGTAAATCATCCCGAAATTTTCGTTTTTTCCCAAAAAGTTAAAAAAAAAAAACATTGAATATGAATCCGAATTATTATTTTTATTTTTTTTTTTAAAGTACATTTAAAGACAAAAATTTCAAAAAAAAAAAAACATCCCAAAAAGTCAATTTTCAAAAAAGTTATGGTGATTTAACAAAAAAAAAGCTGTTTTTTTGTAATAACTCGTAACTTTTTTTTGGTTGGGTAAAAAAATTTGAAAAAATTCTGAAAATTGTTTTCAATAGGGTAGAGAAAGATACCAAAATTTTAGAAAAATCGAAAAGGGTCGGTGTCAAAAGTGGTCGATTTGGCATGGAATGCCCTTTATATATTCTGTGTCTGATTTTTTACTTAATTTGTACATTATTTTCATTATCTTTTTAGTCAATATTGTATTTTATGTATTATTAACATATATATGTATAAATTTGCCATTTGGCCAATTAGGCCTTGGTATAAATAAATAAATCAAAATGAAAATCTAAAATCTAAAATGACGTTTAATAAATAACAAATTTAAATTTAATACATTAAATCAGTATTAAAGATTAAAATAAGGATAAAATAAGTGCAATCCGCAAGAATTATTATACTGAGTTATCATCTGATTTGGTGACATTAAAATTCTATATTTTCAATTATTATTTTCTAGTCCTTGACCTAATACGGCGTAAAACTTTAACTAAATATATTATCAAGTAGATCTTAAAATTTCATGAATTATTTTCTATATTAATTTCCAAGTTTAATTTGATTTTACCTTGTTTATATACAAATTATTTAAATCAATTTTTTATGCAATACTAAGTATGTTATGTACTCACAGAAATTATTTTCTTGTAAAAATTGTATATACTATGTAATAAAAATTGCCATTTGGTTGTGCCTTGGCATCAATAAACAAAATCTAAAATCTAAAAAAATATTAATATTAAATTAGTGTAAAAGATCTATCAACTGAATTAAAAATTCTAAAATTTTTAGAGGTGCTATTCTGACGGTCATATCTGAAAACCTGGCCCATAACCACTTCTTCTTCGTTCCTATTCTCCTAATCCGATTCTTAGTTGAGCCTATTTCTCAATAATTCTCAAGAATTATTATTTAGGGCAAATAAATAGTTTTTAACCTTATAAGTCGAGCATCGCATCAAGAAAATATAAGTCTAAGAGAAGTTTCCTAATATCGATAGTGTCAAATGATAAAAAAATCGGCAATTGAATCTCTTTGTTAATTTCAAATAAATGTGGCTAAAAGTTGACTTTTGGAATAGGAATTCATAATAATCGAAGAAGTATTTAAAAAAAAAAAAAAAAAAAAAAAAAAAACTTAAGTAGTTTATACCTGAAAAGAATTTTTGGTTGCTGTCATAGTGAGCGGTCAGTTACTGACTTTATATTCAAAGATCGTAAAACATTTGACCCGAACCCCTGGGATGCCGCTTAGCTGACTTGCACCGCATACTACTTTCTTATTTTTTCTCCGAATCTCCTGATCCTCGACAACCACAGGATCACGTAAACTTTCCAACTTAATTTCATTTTTTATTCTCAAAATTATTTATTGAAAAATTTTTATTTTATAAAAAAATTCAATTATAATTAAAAAATAATGGACCAATTATTTATTTATAGTTCAATAATCATAAAAAATCAATTAAGTATTAATAATAATTACTTCAATTGATTTTTCTAAATTTTTTTACGCAGGCGTGTAATGTACACAAGTTTGATTGTTGTTTACAAGTTGCCATGGAAACGTAATTTACACAGTAGAACATATATGGTCAAGTAATTTACCAAGTACTGTACTTTACTTTATAACTTAACTATTCAAACCAACTCGAAGCATGAAGATAAGGTAAATTGACCTGTTCGATATGTTATTATACGTTTTTTAATAATTTTCTGGGTAGTTTTAAATTTATTTGTCAATAAAAAAAAATAATAAATATTTTTTTTAGCTTTGTGTTCTATTTCTTAATTTTTTTCTATTTTTATTTAACTATCGAACATTAATGCGTTAATTGTGTGTATATGTCCTCAGGTGATGACAATTAATTATGACATTAAAGTTAGGATTCACTTGACCATTTTTTTATTTTTTATAGCAATTAAATTTGTTCCAAAAAATTATTTTAAAAAAATTGCATTTTTAATTTTTTAAAATTTCTACATGTCAATTTTTTTTCTTATTTTCTTTTCCCATAATTTATTTGTAACAAAATTATTAAATATCTGTTAAATTAATTTAGTAAATATTTGATAATTTTAATGAAATTAAAGTTAGCAGTCACTTGATCATTTTTTTATTTTTTTTTAACAAACAAATTTGTTCAAAAAAATTATTTTTAAAAAATTGCATTTTTCATTTTTTTCAATTTCTACATGTCAATTTTTTTTTTAAAATTTTTTTTGCAATAATTTATTTTCTAAAAAATTGTTAAAATTATCAAAAATCTCCTAAATTAATTTTCATCAAAAATTAATTTTTATAACAAATAAATTATGGCAAAAAAAATTGACTTGTAAAAATTTTATAAAATAAAAAATGCAATTTTTTAAAATTAATTTATTTGTTAAAAAAAAATTAACAAATAGTCGTGACTACTAATTACAATGTCATCCTCAGGTAACCACTTGCACTGAGGTTTTAGCACATTCTACTGATCACAGCACTTGATTGTTGCAATTGTACTTGTAATTATCTAAAAAATAAATAAAGTAAATAAATTAATAAATAAAATAAAGGTGTAATTATTTTTTTATTTTATTTACTTTTATTTCTCAGGTGCAATAACTCGTTAAGGATTTTATGGCGTCAATTAATAATTATTGCAATCATTTGCTTGATACCTACTTCATACGGATTAAATTGCACAAGTGATCCATGTATGTATGGGATCTGCTTAGATAATGATAAGTAAGTTACTTGAATTAAAAATTTAATATTTGTTTTTTTTATTTTAATTAAAAATAATTATTTAAATTAAATAATCAGTTCATACTCATGCTACTGTATTGATGGATACACTGGTATAAATTGCGAAATAAATTGGGATGACTGTTGGTCGAATCCTTGTTACAACGATGGCACCTGTAATGACGGAGTCGCCTCTTATAACTGCACGTGTCCTGATGGTTTTATAGGTAATATTTTTTTTTTAATTAAATAAATTACATTTTAATTTATTATTATTTTTTTTTTTTTGCAGGAGTTAATTGTGAAACAAAATATAGTGAGTGTTTGAATCAACCGTGTCTTAATAATGGCACATGTATTGATTACAATGGATTCACGTGCCAATGTCAAGAAGGATATTCAGGTAAATATTTATTGTGTCTATTTAAATTTTAAACAAATCTATATACTTTACTTACATCATAATTGTACTTTGAAATTATAATTTTTATGAGAAATTTTTAATAATTTTTTATGCAATACTGAATTTCGTAGATAATACCAAAATTAGCCGACGTTTTTTATTTTATTTATTAAATTGGAATTAAAAAATATTTTGTTAAAATTGCACTTAAAATTTTTCAATTTTTTTTTAAATTAAATTTTATTTTTACTTTTTTTTATAATTAATTTTTTTTTATGTCGACTAACTTAATTTTTATTCACAATTTTTTAGATTTTTATAACAATTAAATTAATAAAAAAAAATTCCAAACGTAGAAATTTTAAATGCAAATTTAAAAAAATTTTTTTTTTTTTTAATATTGATAATAATATTAATATTTATAATAATAATTGATTTTGTTATAAAAATTGCAAGATTTTTTAGGTCTGCTTATTTCAGTATCATAAAATTAGCTAAAATTTGATGATTTCTTTAATTTTTTTCAACAAATAAATTATAATAAAAAAAAATTTCTATAAAATTCTACTTTTAGATGTTACAAAAAATTACTAATATAATTTTTTTCAAATATTTTTCTTAGTAACAATTAATTTTTTGTAAAAATCCAAAAAATGACTGCTAATTTTAGTATTATTTTATTTTCAATCTTTTTAAAAAATAAAAAAATTCTCAATTTATAAATAAAAAATTCTAAAATTCCAGGAGATTATTGTGAGATCGACGTATCAGTTTGCAACAGTACAATTTGTAAAAATGGAGGTGAATGTATCGACGGTCCCGGATACTCGTACAACTGTCACTGCCGGGACGGGTGGACTGGTGAGCTGTGTGAAGAAGACATCGATGAATGCCTGAGCTCGCCTTGTCAAAACGGAGGACTTTGCCTAAACGTCCCAGCTACTTACACATGCGCCTGTTTATTCGGTACCTAAAATAAAAAAAAAAATTTTTAAATTAATAAGTGACTAATAAAAAATAATTTGAATTAAAGGTTTTACTGGAAAAGACTGCGACAAGTTGATAATCTCCTGTGAAGAAAATCCGTGTAAAAACGAAGCGATGTGCTTGCTGGAAGACAATCAACCAGTCTGCTACTGCGTCCCAGACTATCATGGGCAATTATGCGAACTGCGTTACAATGATTGTGAATCGAAGTTTGCTCGCTGTGAAAACGGTGGGATGTGTGTCGACGGGATCAACAGTTTCATGTGTTCCTGTCCCTCGCCTTACACTGGAGAAATGTGTTCCATTTACAATCCAGCTTTAACAACTGAATTTCATCAAATAAATATAAATACAACTGAAAAAACTGGTGAAGCACCAATTTTTACCACTTCGGTATTCACAAGTCCCCAAACGCAAGTAACTGAATATGAGCTGGATCGTCAAAGTACAACTGAAAAATTTACTGAATTAACATCACCAATTACAGAAAATTCTACTAAATTATTTACCAGTAGCACTAACAGTACAATTATGAATGATACAAGGACTGAAAGTCCAGTTGTTTATGAAACAACCACTGATACTTATCAGTATACTACCTCGCAACTGATTACTTCTTTAGATTATTTATCAAGTACAACTGAAGACAATCTAGATAAAACGACTGCCCCAGAGACTTCAACAAATGTCTTCCAAATAAATGAAACAAAAAAATTAATAAAAAATTTTTCTACTGAAACTTCCTTAGATTCTTATACCAAAGTACCGATTGTTCAATTAAATGCGACTGATATGACATCATCTTCATTGCCATCAACTATGTCGACAATAAAATTGACTAGTTGGTCATCTGAAATAAATTTAACGACTGAATTATCTAGTGAAGCTGAAAAAATTATTACGACTTCAATGCCGACTATTTTAACATCTACAAAAATATTTAATGAAAGTTTGATTACTTTTGAGATACCTACTTCGTCAACTATTGATTTACCAATGACCATACCTACTCTCAGTGAATTAACGACTGATAAATCGCACATTACTTCAACAATTATGTATTCTACTGAAGCTGAAGGACGCTCCAAGGCGTATAATTGCACTGATGATTGTATTCATGTTACTCCTTGCACATCGGGAAATTCTAGCCAGGTCAGTCTTAAATTTTATTATTTATTATTATAAAAATAAATTTTAGGATTAAGATTTTTACAAATTGGTCTGTTGCAAACTGATACAAAATTTTAGAAATTTGAATCTATAATTTTAGTTAAATTTAATTAGAATTTTTTTATTTTTTAAAAAGGTTGAAAATAAAATTAGCAGTCATTTTTTGAATTTGTACAAAAAATAAATTATTACTGAGAAAAATATTTTTTTAAAATTACATTAGTAATTTTTTTGAAACATCTGCAAGTGGAATTTTATAGAAAAATTTTTTTATTATAATTTATTTATTAAAATCAATTAAAGAAATCATCAGAATTTAGCTCAAAAAAACAGACATAAAAAATCTTGCAATTTTTATAACAAATCAATTATTATTATAATATAATAATTTCAGTGTGATTGTGATTCGTCGGACTGTACTCCAGCAGTAACACAATCGTCGACTATCACAAACGCGGCTTTTAACGGGAAATCTTACGTTCGTCAACAACTCAAAATAGATGACAGTGGACTGTTGAAAATTTACTTAAGATTAAAAACCAAGTCAAAGAGTGGAATTATTATGCATGCGTTTTTTGATGAAGAAAGGTATGTTTTATTATATATGGAGCTGGGACAATTGAAATTTCAATTTTCATGTGGACTACAAACTATGTTACTTGGAGAAATAGATAGTCCGATTAATAATGGAAGAGATGTTGATATAGAAATGAGGTAATTTATGATTAGTGTTTTAATATTTGAATACAGAAGTTAGTAAGATTAATTATTTTTAATTACAGATTTAAGTATTTAGTAGAAAATGATATAGGTAAATGTTCAGCAAGACTATTTGTTAATAATACAATGGCAATGAGTGGTGAACAAATGTTGACTGCACACACTGATATTCCACAAATAGTCCGTGTACATTTTGGTGGAATTCCACAAGCATTTTCACATTATTTCCCACGGATTGCCCTAGGATTTATTGGTTGTATGAGTATGTTAAAGGTAAAAATTATTTCACCCAAATTGTATGTCTTGAAAAAAAATGAAAATTACAAATAAATAAAAAAAAAAAATTCATTTGTAAAAAACCTAAAAGTAATTAAAAAAAAAATATTTTTTTGTTCCAATTTAATAAAGTAAAAAGAAATTGAAAAATCAAAAACGTCGGCTAACTTTAGTGTTATAAAAAAAAATATTTTTAAAAAATTTTCTTCATTCAGGTGAATGATATTCAAAGACACTTTGTTTTGGATTCTGTTGAAACGTTTCAAATAGAAGAGTGTACTTCATTTTTGTGTCTGCTGAATCCATGTAGGAACTTCGGCTCTTGTCATGATATCGATGGCAAAGTTTACTGCAAATGTATACCTGGGTACAAAATAATAAAATTTTTTCAATTTATTTAATTATTTTAATAAATCATTATAAATATATTTAGCTTATAATTTTATTTTTATTTATTTATTTAATAAATAAATAAATAAATTTTACTTTTAGATATACTGGAGAACTATGTGAAAAAACAGCTTGCGATGACAATCCATGTTATCTTGGTTCAACATGCATCAGTTCACCAGGAACTGGATTTATTTGTGTTTGTCCTTTGAATATGCACGGTCGTCGCTGTGAAGAAGGTAGTACTTATAAAAAAAATTTATTAATAATTATTAATTTAATTAAACCAGTATATTCATTTTTCTAGAATCAATTATAGTTGATCCATCATTCTCAGTATTTATTCCCGGATTCTCATCATACGTTGCGTATGGCATTAATGGAATAATACAAAATTATATGGAAATAAAAATGCGCATAATGCCACATTCTGTTGATCAGATTTCATTGTTAGCTTACATGGGTCAGGGTGGTGCTTCAAGAGATACTTCTGATCATTTTTCTGTTACGTATGTTAAGGGATATATTATGTTGACCTGGGATTTAGGATCAGGTATTTACAATTATTAATCATTAATCATTAATTAATTAATAAGTAAGTAGTCTATTTATAATGAAAATAATTATTAAAATTTTTTAAAGGCGTAAGAAGAATTTTTACAAAACGCCCACTATCATCACGAACCAGAGGACCTTACATGCTACATGTTGGTCGACGCGGTCGAGATGCTTGGTTATTTGTCGACGGTATTGGTAACGTAACTGGACAAGCCGCTGGTACAATGAATAAATTAAATGTGTCACCACTACTTTATATAGGTAAAAATTTTACTCAATTAATAAGAAAATTTTGGCCTTATTATTTGTTTATTTTTTAATCACACTGTAGATAGTTTGGGTACTTTTTAAAAATAATAGTACTATTACAGGATCAATTACTAATAATTTAAAAATTTAATTCTAACAATTCCTATAAAAATATTAATATGCTCATTACAAAAATTTTCTTACTCTCTTAATTATTTAGATATAAAATCCATACGTACAAAATAAAATGACATTAAAGTTAGCAGCCACTTGATAATTTTTTAATTTTTTTTTAACTAAATAATTTGTTCGGAAAAATAATTTTAAAAAAATTGAATTTTCAATTTTTTTTAATTTCTACATGTTAATTTTTTTGCCATAATTTATTTGTTAAAAAAATTATTAAAATTTAATGAATATCTACTAAATTAATTTTCATAATAAAATAAATATTAATCAATAATTAAAATTTAATGAATTATTAATCAATTTTATACAGGTGGACATAAATCAAAAAATTTTGAAACATTACCACACGATTTACCGCTCCATACTGGTTTCACTGGGTGTATTTATGAAATCGAATTACGAACAGAAAACACAGTCATTCCTGTAACCAAGTCTAGTCCAGCATCTGGTCGTGGAGTTGGAGAATGTCATCGTAACGAGTGTTCTTATAATACATGTAAAAATGGTGCTGTTTGCTTGAATCACGGACCAACTTATAGGTAAAATAAATATACAATTAAAATAATTTATTTTATATCCTTTCAAATTTTTTCTACAATTAATGAGAAAAAATTTTGTTATATTTTATAGTTGTATTTGTATGAAAGAATGGCAAGGTCCAGACTGTACCGTACCTGCAGTATCGTGCTCGTCTTCAAATCCATCTTGTCAGTCTATGAAGAATATATGAGGGAGTTTTTGAAAGTTTTTACGTAAATAATAACGGGTAGTGCAATTATTTTAAATAATAAGATATTTATGGTTGTAAATGAATAAATTGTGAGTTTGTTTTTTACTTACGGAAAAAAAAAAGTTTTTTATTTATTATCCTTAAATATAATTGTAATTAATTTATGTACTATCGATTTTGGGTTTCGTAGTAGCCGACGATGAATTTAAATGAATAAATAATACTGCGGCTGCCAATCGTGCCTGTAAATCTTGTTTACCTAATTCATGGGACCATTCCACATTACCCCAATGTGAAATCTAAAAAAAAAATTTTTTTTTATAATTTGCAATCAATAAAAAATTATTATTTTATTGAAAAGTATTTTTTGTAGTAAAATTCTATTTTACCTGAAATTCTTCTTCTAATCTTGATAAAGCAATAGCTTCTTCAACATTTAAAGCTCTTTCACATAAAGCAAGCATTAGAATTACTGATTTTAATACATCAACGCCGTACATAAATCCTGAAATTATTATTAAATTATTTTAGATAATCTATATTATTAAGAGAATAAGCAAAATTTTGTGACCAGGATATTCATATGATAAAATTGGTTTTTTTTTAGTGAAATTTAGTGTCATTGCAAAGGTCTTGACTTGAATTTGTGCCTTTTCAAGGTTTCATATTATTCTTACCGATAGTCAATTTACTATGATAAGTATATAGGCTGCATTCGAAAATGCTCTATTTCTAGATACATAATTAAGAAATGACCTTGTATCTTGTGAACTATTGACATTTTTAAAGATATAAGCTCATCCTGATGTTATACTCATCAAGACCTTCCATTTGAGTACCCACATCATTTTTTCATATATTTATATATATTATATATATGTATATATGAAAAATATATGAAAATACATATGGGTACTCAAATGAAAGCTCTTGATGAGTGTAACATCAGGATGAGTTTACATCTTTAAAAATATCAATAATTAAGAAATGACCTTGTATCTTGTGAATTATTGACATTTTTAAAGATATAAGCTCATCCTGATGTTACACTCATCAAGATCTTTTATTTAAGTACCCACATCAATTTTTCATATATTTATATATATTATATATATGTATATATGAAAAATATATCAAAAATGCATGTGGGTACTCAAATGAAAGCTCTTGATGAGTGTAACATCGGGATGAGCTTATATCTTCAAAAACATCATTATTTAAGAAAGTACAGTGCAATTTAACAAAAATCATTATTTAACAAAGCAAAATTTTATTTATTTATAGTTCACAAGTCACGGCAGTCACATAGTGGCTAGTAACTGCAAGGTTGCTAATTAAAAACATTAGTCTTATAAAAAATTTTTTTTTAATTTAATAAATAAATTAATAAATTGGTTAAATTGTTCAATTTTCTTCAATTAAGAACATTAAATAAAATCTTTTTTAAAATAAAATTTTTTTATATAAAAAAAATTATTACCGTGAAGAGATGCAGCGTTATAAGAAGCAACATGTCTTACAATTTTTTCTTTGGTGTCACTAGGAATAACCGGAGAACTTATACTTGTTGTTTTTTCAACATCTACTTGATACTTATCGCAAAACCATTGTATGATTGGGTCCCATTTTTCCTTTTGGATTTTAAATAATTCCTCTGTTTCCTATTTGACACAAAAAAAAATTATTATCTATCAAATTAATATAAAACTAATTTTCTCAACTTACACTTGATTGATATAAAATAGTATCAGTTTCTAAATAATTAGCAATGTAAGTAACAATATCAATGCTATTTAAATTTTGTGGATTGTCTAAAAAAGTGCTACACAGAGCTGTCTGAAACATAAAAAAATTATCAAGAATTAATTTACTAATTACATGATTATTAAAAAATAGATTAAGTATAAAAAAAATTATTTAAAAAAATTTTTTAGAGCTTCTAAAGATCCAATTTTTTTTTGCTATAATTTATTTAAAAAAAAAAAAATCTAAAAATGATTAGAAGTCTCTCAATTTTAGCATCATAATAAATTTTAATTTAAAATTATTTATCTAATTACCATATGCATATTACTTCGATGAATAATATCCTCTTGACTATCCCATTCATGGGCAACAGCTAATGCCAATGGTTTGCTGGAGACTTCAAATACTCGCCCTTTGGGTGTCTTGAGTTTACGTTGATCCAATGTTATTTCATATTTTTCTCCACTTTGTAATATATTTGTTCTTCTATAAAACCTTTTAACAGTTGCTAAAAAAATATAATGTATTATTTATTAGTAATATAATTTTATTTTTATCAAACTGAACTTGTATGAAAATTGAATTAACCGACATCGGAAAACTTTTTTATTAAAAAAAAATTTAACATGTAGAAAATTTATAAAACTCCAAGTGCAATTTTTAAAAAATATTTTTTTTACTTGTAATTTTATATTTAAAAATGAACTTATAGGTTAAGCTCAAACAAATAGTAATTTTACTGTTTTAAAAAAAATAATTACCCATTTTACGGACGACAATACCCTTTGGTAATAACTGTCTGTACTTTAAACAAAACATATTTATTTAATAACTTATTTTTTTATTAGTAAATACAATAATTTTTTCTAACTAGTGACGTTTGTTATTGAGTGTGACTTTCGCGCAAAAAGTGTTTAAAAAGTAAAATGGAGGACTGCCTACATGAAGCGCCCTCTTTGCAAGCATATTCAAAAAATAAAACAAAAGCTGACAACTGTCAATTTTTTTAAATTAGTCAGTTAGCAATCACTTGGCCATTTTTTAATTGTATTTAACAAATAAATTTATTTAGGATGATAAATTTAGCAGATATTTAATAATTTTTTTTAACAAATAAATTATGGCAAAGAAAAAATATAAAAAAATTGACATTTAGAAATTTAAAAAAATAAAAAATGCAATTTCTTCAAAATAATTTTTTAGGGCAAATTTTTTTGTTAAAAAAAAATTAAAAAATTCTCTAGTGAGTGCTAACTTTAATGTCATAATTTATTTCGAAAAATTATTTTTTAAAAATTGAGTTTTTAATTTTTTCAATTTTCTACATATCAATTTTCTTCTCATTGTTTTTTGCCATAATTTATTTGTTACAAGAATTCTAAAAAATTATCAAATACTTATCTGGAAAATTAATTTTCATCAGAGGTGCTTGTTTTACGGTGAAATTTATAAAGTTACTGAAAAATAATTAATGTAAGAGGAAGGTAAAAATACTAAAAAATATAATAATACTAAAGTTAGCTGACGTTTTTAATTTTTTGATTTTTTTTTTAATAATTAAATTAGAACAAAAAAATTTTTTTAGAAAATTGCACTTACAGTTTTTAAAGTTTTTTACAAGTGAAATTTTTTTTTTTTATTTTTTTGTAATCATTTCTTGAATAAAAAAAAATTCTAAAAATTTTTAGATGGCTAACTTAATTTTCAAAAAAATATAACAAAGGTAAAAAAATTTTTCTAACTTGCTAGTTACTTTTATTTTAACTAATAAATAATTTATACTAAAAATATATCACAAATTTCTTTTCAGAATACTAGCTCCTGTAACTTTAAAAACACATTAATTAATAAATTTTATGAATATTAAAAATTAAAAACTGCGGAAATAAATATGACGTGAATAAGGTATTTTTAAATATTTTATTGATAAGTAGAATTACAAGTATCCACAAACACAATTATTTACCAAGTATATATTTTTTATTTTACGGTTAAATAAAAGGATTGAGTAGAAAAGAAAATAAAGAACTAGAGTATTTGATCCGCACACTAACAATAAAAATTAATTTTTAATCAACTCCACTCCAAATGAATAACAAATTAAGACTTTAAAGAATAAATTAACAATAAAAGTGTGCCGTGGACAAAATAACAACTTAATTAAAAAAAAAACTAATTTCAATGTTCAATATATTGCTGTTAATATCAAGCTTTCTTTGTTTATTTATTAACTTATTATTTTTTTTCTAACGAGCCTGTTCTTTTTTCAATAATCATCCGTCTGTCATTCTCTCCCTCTCTTTCATTCTTTTAATAAATATTTATTGTACAGTGACAAAAAAAAAATTTTATGACACACATTTAATTAAAAACATTGAAGTGTCTCATATGTGCGAAGCAAAACTTAGGCATATCGGCTCTACATTTTGAACTGATGATTACTTTATTTCAATTAATAATGTTTTTTCTTTTATTTTATTAACAATAATTATGAAATATGCATGCAATAATTAATAATTACTTTGCTTTTTTGAAGATATAATTTTTATCTGACATCCAAGTAATTAAAAAGAGGTGCAAAATAATAATAAGAGATAAATTAGTATAAAATATAATTATCAGATATATAATGAGATAATTTAATGTTATTATTGTTATAATCCACTTGCAACTTGGATTTCTACTGAAGGACGTATATTTGTTTTTTATTTATTTATTCATTTATTTACTCATCTTTTCACATGTCATGTGTTTTATTTATTTATTTTTCATTAATTAAGCTAAATCGTAAGTAATATTATTATTTTAATATAGAATTATTACCTCTTTACAAAAATCAATTCTTAAACTTACGTATAGAGTTGGTCTGATACCAGGTCACAGGAACTTTTGAAGGTCACTAAACTAGTTAATCAGTTACCTTCAAAATTACATTTACCAAACTGATATGCTCCAATCGATCTAATACTGTCAAGTCCAATCCCACGAAACTTTCAATCAATTTTATTTATTATTTTTTCTCATCAACTGAATAATTATAAATTAAAATTTCTATTATGACTATCATAAATATAATTACAATTACGATCGTGGTAATGGACTATACCGTTAAATAATATAAATAATTATTAATAAATATGAACGAAAAAAAAAAAAAATAAAATTTGATAAATTTACCTAGAACCTGTGACACAGAGTCAGTCCTGTTTTACATACAATGCTTTTTTTTATTATTTTTTTATTTTTGTAATAACTACACACTATAGGTACATATATAATTATTTGTTATAATAATATATAAATATATGTATACCCATTAATTTTTTTTTTAATTTTTGAGCCATATAATTATATATCATTATTTAATTATAATTATTATTATTATTATTAATATTATAGTTATTAAATGTATTGATGCTATCTGTTGTTTTTTTTTTACCATCGCCATCAATTTACGTTCACGTAATAATTGCTGTTATTTTATTTTCTTAAAATATCTAAAATAATATTTTTAATATAACATTTAGCAGTAAAGAGTATGCTTATTTATTTATATTTATATTCATTTAATTATTTACTTTTTATTTTACCGTGTGTATATGTATCTGTGTAGTCGTTTAATGTGTGTATGTACCTCGGCCAATCCATCATCATTTCACATCGAGTTACATGTGACAAATTAATTAATAATATTTATTATTAATATTATTTATCTCTTGAATAATATACTGCGATAAAAATTTCAAGTTTATGTGTTAACAAGCAAATTAATTTTCATTTCAATTATACACTCAAGCATATTTTATTAAATTGTTTATTATATCAATGAGTAAATATTATTTCATCACACGCATCTCTTGAGTGTATTAAAAATATTAAATAATTCAATTATTTTAATCAAATTTTTCTGTTGATTTTTTTTCTAATATTAATATTATTAGGGTGTATGATAATTACGACTTGAAAAAAAAAAAACATAATGATAAAATAAAATGTGTTGACACTTATCCGGGCCAAAGGTGCGTGTATCTCTTGATCATATACAAATATATAAGCATTAAACGTGTTTAATATAATATATATTATTTTCATCATCCTTAGATCATATTATTTTTATTCATCATGTATGTATATATACCATTAGTATTATCCTAAGATAATTATTGTATGAACAATTTTCTTAATGGAAAAACCGAAAAAAAATGGAGTGTAATTTCAACAGCCGCCACTTTTTATGTTACTTAACTAATGGTTTTTTTTTTTTTTTACTACATAATAAGAGGTAATTATACCACACTGCAATGAAATAAAATTATAATAAAAAAAAAAAATTAAACAAGACCACCATTTGATTTTTTTTTAATAAATATTTTTAATAATTCAAATAATATGTAAATAAACAATGACTTATGGAATGATAAAATAATATCAATTTGTTTGTTAAAGTATAGTAATTAACATAAATTGCTTTTAATAATTATTATAATAAAATTAATATAAGTTAGTTGATTTTATTTTAAATAGTATAAAATTTTAATGTCAAACAATAATATGCATTAAGTACCTAACCGTGGTTACTTATTTTTTAAAAGAAAATAATAACAGGCAGTGGACACTAAAAATAATAATTATAACAGTAAAATATTACGTTTAAAATAAAAAGCTTATCAATGGACGTTCTGATATTTCAAGATTACTTGTTATTTTTTTCTTTATTATTATGGCAATTCATATACTTTCGCGTACACGCTACATATTAGCTAGCTCTCATTCATTTATTCATTTAATTATTTACTTATATATTTATTGTGTAATAAATATCTTCAATTAGCTCTGCAGTTAAAGCTACAGTCGATTGCCTGCACGGCTGCCAAATCAAAGCTAGGGCTTCTTTATTTATATTTTTTTTAATTATTTAATCATCTTTTATACTTTTTTTTTTTTTTTATACTTTAGTTATTTTTTTATAAGTTTAATTTTTTTATATAATGAACTGCAAAGGGTCTTGCAAAATATCAGAACAAAAGTAAAAAGTATCTGAAAGAGATGTGTAAGTATGGATAGTAAAAAGACATGATTGCGCTTTAAAACATCAAAGTCCTACAATGTCTCGCCTCTATGGCACGTGATTACGATGACGGACGGCACATTTAGAATATCTTACGTCTTGAGATGATTAACAAGTAGACGTTTTATGAAATTAAAAAATTTTTTTCTGATCCAGCCGGTCGTTATTATTATTATTATTATTATTATTTTTTATTATTATTATTATTATTAATATACGAGTATATTCTGCAGGACCGCGCGAAAGCATGTATAAACTAATTTATTATTAATTCATTTTTTTCATTTTTAATCACGAACTGCTTTATGAGATTCTGGAATTCTCCAAGTGAGATGTGGGTGAAATAGTTATTAGTTAATGAGACAAACAGTGTAGATATTTTTTTTTTATGATCGATTATCTTCTTACCGATCAATAGATGGAAAAAAAAAAAAGAAAAAAAAAATTATCTTTCTTTAATTTTAGTAAACTTATTCCTTTACTTCAAAGTATTTGTATGTCGGATTTTCATATCCGTTTATTTGCATATTGGCAACATGTCGCTCTTCAGGAGTTGCCGCTTGATCAACTTCTATGAATCCTTGACTGTGTGGGCTCCTGGCACTGCGTCTTTTGAATACTGCAATACCAACAATTGCCGCAGCCATGAGTGCAATACCAGCAAACGCTAGAGTGAAATAGACTGAGCGGCTCTCTCTGTGATAAATTTCTCGCCTTATGGAGTACCCCTAGTATGAAAAAATACCACACACATTGTTAATGAAAGAATACTCCAGACTGTACTTAAAAAATAAAAAAAAAATTTCAAATGATTTATACTAACAACTAGCTTTTTGTAATTAAACTTACAGGTTCCGAGTGCGAAACATCGTGAGTCATACTGTGTGCAGCTCTGATAATACCCTCGTTGTGCATTGCGGCAGCTGCTGACTGTTGTAACTGTTGCTGCTGCTGCTGTTGTTGTTGTTGTTGTTGTTGTTGCGGTTGCTGTTGCTGTTGCTGTTGTGGCTCAAGTGGAGGTTGCACTATATCTTTCTTCTCAATAACAGGATCACCGTCTTCATGTTGTTCTTGCTCCGTACGCAATTCACCCCTTTCTACCTTTCGCTGCTCTTTACGTTCACGGTCCAGTTGCTTTTGATGCTCTTTTTCTGTACAAACATAAATATTGATTTAATTAAATCAAATAAATCCGAAATGTAGATTTAATTCGAAAATAAATTCTGGATTATAAATTAATGTAAATGTACCTTGTTGTTTGCTCGCTACATCGGCCTGATATTTATCCAGAATAGCAGCCTCAGCTTCCCGTGTCATTGCAAGGAGAAGTCCCGGCGTCTCATCTTTGCTCCTGAGGGCCAATACATAATCATCCATCAGCCGTCCAATTTTAGCACTCAATTCTGGATACCTATGGATGCATTTTAATAATGATTTAATACTTATTATCTATCAGAAAAAAATTAAAAAAAAAAAAAACCCATTTCATTATAATCAGTATGATCAATGGTGAATGGATAATAAGTCATTATTTTTTGTCTCTACCGTTCTAACATCAAGAGACTTTGATTTGTAATCCTGTCAATTTCAGCTAAATGCTCAAGTGTCGCTGGTTTCTCACGCTGTGCTTGCTCCAAACTGCTGTCCAATAAATGTTTGTAGTGGGCGATTGTGTGGTGTCGATCTTTGTGTAGAGCTCTCAGTAATTTTTGCAGACATTTTTGAATTCGGTGCATCTACAATAGATAGTTCAATTATTAATTAATAATAAAAAACTAACAAATAAACAGTCTCTTATACAAAAAAAAAAAAAGACGCCATTTGGTCACACCCGAAATGGAAGGTAGATTTCATAGAATGAATAATCATCTTCTTGTCTCAATAACTTTCGTTTGATATGGAATGAAATTTATTTTAACATACATAAGTAGGTTGTATTACACATTGCCTGAAAATGGTTCAATAGAACTCTTAACTGATAAAATAACTAAAAATGGTCAAAATGTCAATGTGATATACGTCAAATTAAAGGTAATTTCAAGAGCTTTCACATGAATTTATCAAAAATTAGCCATCTCTTCAATCAAAATTTATACATCAATGAAGTCACCGAAAATGTGATTTTCACTATTTTGATAATTTTGAAGAGCTGCCATTTCTAAACTTATTGATGGATTTCGCTCATCTTCGAACTTATTCAAGATTATTATCCAAAGAATATGTGTAACAAATTTCATCTAGATCCGTCAAGAACTGTAGACACAATCGCGGAAACATTCCGCGTTATATTACATATATTGTCACGGCAGTCAGGGTGTGGAACCAGTTACCGGAGGAGATTGTGACAATTACTGATTACAATGAATTTCGGTCAAAGTGCTACAAGTTTTTTGTGGATAAAGACGTTATATAATTATCATTACATTATTTTTCGAATTACTAATTATTTATATTTAAACATATATTTTTTCATCTCTTTTGTTTTATGATCTAGAGTCATTAAATTAATAACTTTAATGGACTTTGCTTCGAGACAACGTTATTTATTTTTACTTCATTATTATCATTTCCATTACTGTTTATAATTTTTATTATTATTATATATTAATTTATATGTAAGGCCCTTAGGGAGCTAAGGCTTCAGGGTCTAAAATTTTGATAAATAAATAAAAATATATAAATTTTTTAACTAACGTTATTTTTGAGGTTTACTCGACTAGTTAAGAGATATTACGACAAAATTTCGAGTAAATTTCGACATGAGGACCAATGCGAAAGATTGATTTCTATGAAATCTACCTAAAAGACCTGTATCACTTGTTAGTCTTTTTGATATTGAAAATACAAAATAATTCACATACATTTGGTGGTGTTTCGTTCAAAGCAGCGGTATAACATGACATAGCTTCTTCATTTCTCTGTTTAACAGCCTCCTAGAAGTAAAACAGAGAAATCAATAATTCTTACTCCACAGTAATCACTCAGTTACATTAAACCCCGTGTAATTTAAATTTTAAACAAGATTAAATATTTAACAGGGTAAGATAAACCAAGATAAATAAGACAAAAGGAAGACAAGTTCTCACTTGAACTCGTTGCTGATGCATTGCACTCAATTGATGTTTCTCAGCAGCACCGCTCGCCTCCAAAGCCGCAACAGTCTCTTGGAATCTAGCAGTCATCCATCGTTTAAATGCATCAGCAGCTACTGGATCACGTGCACGTATATCTTGATATCTTTCCTCAAGATCACTCCAGTCCTTCATCACCTGAAAAAGTTGCAGCAAACAGATCGCGAAAATGACACCACCGTCTTCCTCAAAAAAAAAAATAACTTGAAATTACAAATGGATTTACCTTGGTAACCTTTTCCTTGTGTACCTCTTCGAGGCGCATTTGCGCTTGCTTGTAACTTTGATGCTCAGAGCGTGGATCGAAATGAGTTAAATATGGATCGGGCGTACCCTGGGGCTGTGATGGTGATTGAGAACTTGAGCTAACAGGTACTGGCATAGCCGTAGGTTCTTGTTTACTTTTCTCTGTTGTTGATACTGTGGTTGAGGGTTTAATGTTCGCAGTAGTCGTGTCATAATCATCTAGATATGCCTCGTCGCTTTCATCTTCATACGCCTGATCACTCAGCACATCCTCGAGATCACCATCCGAGTCATCATCATCGTTGTCAGGCTCACTGTCGCTATCTCCATCGCTGTCAATGTCGTCATCATCGTCTAAATCATCCTCATCTTCATCTAAATCATCTTCGGTACCTTTGACAATCGGCAAGTCGATTGGTTTTTTTGGCTTTACATTGTCTGCAATAAAATAAAAAAAAAAAAAAAAAAACTCGGTATAATTAATAAACAAAAAGACAAATAAAATGAAGCAAGTCAAGAAATTAATCATCCACGTTTAGAAATAAAATCTTTAAGCTCGAACGAGTTCTGGCAAGTTACCGAGAAATTCCCATCACGTCTGAAATACCACGGCGCGTCAGAACGATTGGAACGATTCACGAGTTTGGTGAGAATGCAGTATAGGTAAGGAGTAAAAAGAGAGAACAACTTCTGCAGTGCAAGTCGACGCGGCATTTGGGCTGCGATACGACAATCCACTTATCGAAATTCTTTTTCTTGCAAACGCGAGCACAACTACTATATCTAATACTTCTTCAACTACTTCGACCGATTGATTGGATACGGATATCGAATCATCCAGCTAAAACTTAAAAAACTCCCTCATTTTTCCCCGATATTCATCATTTTACTTAAATTAATTTTAAGAAGATATAATAAATTAGTCGTATGTCAATGTGACAAAAAGCATCGTGAAGCTATTTTTTTTATCCCTAATTCTTTTCTTTTTCTCTTCACATCTTTTTATGGATTTCTTTTTTTTTTTTTTTTTTTTCAAGAATAGAATTAATTTAAACAATGTTTGAAATGATGTAGCCCACAGCTACATAAGACTAACTAGAATCTCGAGAGACCTAGTGTCTTATTTTTAGCCTTTTTTTTATTTTTTATTTTTTTTTTTTTGTCAGAAGAAGAATAGACCTGGTGGACTTGATGAGCCATCTTCACGACATCCTTCCGCGTGTCCAAGTTCCTATGCTGTTTCTCTTTAACATTGCACTTTTATATCTGGGTCACCGCGGCAAGGTAGTATATTATATCTATCTGCTGGCGTCTTATACAGTGGATATAAACCTACTCTTCTTTCGTGTGCTTCCTATTTTTTATTTCAAACGAGAATAAAGCACAAAAAAATATAATAATAAAAGATAGAAAGCAGAGCGGAAACGTCGAAAGTCTTCGATTGCAGCCTATATCAAACATCAGTAAGAGTAAAAAAAAAAAATAAAAGTAATATACATATGCATAGATATGAAAAGCCCTTAAGAATTTCATCGACGAATGTTCTTTTGTATTTTTTTTTTTTTTTCTTTAATATAGTACTCTACTATTAGTAAAAGGTACCTAGTCTTTCGATATGTGTTTGTACATATGTACGGATCACAAAAGTCTTGTGTCTTAGAACATTGAATCGGGCAATTTACTGTGCAATAGACGTAACGAGAAGCATCGTTGCTTTAGTTAGAAGTACTCGATAATCAAAGCGAAACCAAGAGAGTGAGAAGAGGGATCGATCGAGCTCACTCCTGACGAGGGTGGTGGTTTAATAAAAAAAAATACGAAAAAGACGAAGAAATAGTAAAAGAAGAGCGGATGTCCTATAGCCGCAATTCTAACTGAGATAAAGCCGAATGCTGAATAGACGAAACCTGAACATTGGACCAAGGCTTCAAGTCATCATGTCTCGATGTATATACAATGAATATATATAGATATATCATTTATACTAGTAACCATTTGCGAGTGCCAGTAGATAGCTAGTCGTATTTGCACTATCTCCGGAATTCCATGACGTTTTATGCGTCGTGGATATACCGTAGTAGTTATGTATTATAACTGTGCAGTATGTATATATTATACATATACATCATCTATTTTGTTGGGCAGATAGAAAAGGACAAGAAATATATTGTATAGAGTCGTCGCGACGCGCAGTCGTCGACGTAGACGTACATTATTGATTGCTTGAGCAGTGCCAAGTAAAACGTGCTAGGACACAGAAGGCCGTACCCTACTCATTTAATACACCCTCGTGTTCTTCGATAAATTACGCCTCTTCAGCCCTCTTCGGCTTGCTTACTCTATATTACTGTATCTTTCTCTAGCCGATACACAACACTAAAAAATAAAAATACGTCAGGCTTTTACCTGTCACCTTCTGACGTGTTTACACCCATAGGTTTATTTATCATTGTCATTATGCCCGTTACACTTTTTTTCTATTTAATTCTTTTTTTTTTTGTTTTATTTTCGCTGTCGCAATTGTAGTTTTTATCTAGTTATTTCTTTGTTCAAACGTACCAGCTACTGAAGCAAGCTAAATTATTTACAATGATGTAGAACTACCTTTCAGATGCTTGGGACAGCAAACAAACTCGACGCCAGAGAAGAGAGATATTCCGCAAGGCAATAGCATCGCAAAACTCCGTAAATTCATGTTTCTCTCGCGACATGTGTCTGCTGCCGTGGAGTTCCACCTAAAGTCATAAACAAACACTCATGAGTATGTACTTAATCTTGTAAAATGATCTTTAATACGGTTATGATACACATTTAGGAATATGTCATGTCATTTTTATTGACTAGTAATTTTCTAGGTAAAAAATTATTCTTTTTTTTTCCTATAAATTCAAATGGAAAGTGATTTTTAAAGATTTAAAATCAAAAGGTGGCTAGATGATTTAATTAAGCTAAATCACTTTAATTAATCTTACCTATGAGATTCCCAGCATTTAGTGTGATTATGCAAGTGATCAAAGAGACATCCTTCTGGTACAAGAAGAGCGTCACTCTGGAAAGGCCCCTCTAAGGTAAAAAATAAGTTGATTAAAATTTTTATATTTAACTTCACTTCATTGATTATTATCATTATCATCATCATAACCATTATCATTATCACTGTGATTAAATATTATTTAGGAGCCACTTGAGGTTATTCAACTCTTTCCCGACAATTAATACAATTTTATCGATTTAAATATTGAAACATTTACTTAACTTTTTTTTTTTTTTTTTTTTTTTTTTTTTTATTTTATTTTATTTACAAACCAATAAACACGTGTCTCTTGGAACAACTTGAAATTCAAATAAAAAATTAAAATCACTCTGAAATATAAATAAAGTTCCTTCTCGATTTTTTCATTATATTATTTTGTGTTCAATTGATCAATAAAACGTAGTCTGGAGTACTTTAAGACAGACGGTGATATAGATTTATATGTATATATAGTTTTAAGTACCCAGGCATCTGTACGGCTTGACCCATCGAGACAGTTTACATTTAGTTCGTCCAGGTTTGCACCAACCGCCAACTCGTACATAGTGGGACGACTCAACGATATTCGTAATATCCCTCTTCGGATAAGCCTAAAAATAAAACATTTGTAGATTACTCGTGAGTATTGAGATACATAACAGAACATAATATGATAATAGTGCCAGACTTACTAATTAATTAATTAAACAAGATATAAATTTATTGACATATAAAAAAGCGTATAGTAGGTAAGCCTAGTTAAAAAGTAATAGCTTCATTTAATTTCTTCTTTTACGGATAATAAAACGACTTATTTGCTTGAACTTTCAAGAGCATCCGGATTAACAATTCAAATTTAGTGATCGAAAATGATCGATACAGAAGATTACGAATGTATGATATACAAGTTAGAGGGATCAGAGAAACCTATCTCAAGACTAAGTAGATTAAAGTGATCCTTTGAAAGGTATATAAGCGTTTCTCGCGATTCCATGGACGATTAACGTACAGACCACTATGACGGATTCTGGCTCGCTTTTCCGTATAAAGGGATTAGTAAAATCTCGTTCAAGATCATAGTGTGGTATTATACATTTTAACTATGAATTTTCACTTTAAAGTCTCATTCTAGAACTACTATTATTACCATCACTAGTACAACAGTAACGTTATATTTTACTAAGTACATATATACATTACTTTTTGAATATATTATTATATTATACGTCCTCGACTTGTCGAATGAATATGTATATGAACAATTGAGTTTGCAAGCTCTTATAATTATACAACTATTATATATACTAATTGTCAAGTAATTGAATAAAGTAGAGATCAAACTGTTGAACAATCTTTGACTCATCTCTTCCTCGTGGACGGGACTTCATATTCTCTATATTTTTATCTTTTGTACAATTCATTGACTCTCTATTATTCATTTTGTTAATAATGTTATTATTACATTATAACAACATTGAGTAGCTATGTTAATTCTATTGTAAAGAAAATGCTGCATAATGGAGTATGGTACAAAAAGCGCAGCAGCATAAACAATAGTGACTTTTAATTGTTTTAGTTTATTAAAAGTGTATTTTTTAATTTAATTTTTGACTTCACCTTCTTGCAGTACTCGAGAATCTCCAGTTTGTCTGTCATGCAGCTTTTCGTGTCCGTTGACGATACCCATCGTCCTTGTTCGCCCATATGCTGTGCAAGATACGTTTCACTGGCTTCGCAGAGCGTAGCAACCTAGTTTTTTAATGATAAAAAAAAATAATAAATAAAAATTCATTAAAATATAAATTAAAAACCGTTGTAGGTAATATGTATGTATATATATTCATATTTAATAGTTTTATAATACCTGGGGCTCGGATCTTCCTCCGGCTGGTGCCAACTCTAGTCTCTCTGACACGGCCTGTAATCAAATTTATTTATAAATTTAGTTAGAAAATTTCATTATTCCTTTTTTAATTTTCTTAAAATTTTAATGATGATTTTTTTTCATCCTATTGTTCAAGATTTATTATGAACACCGGAGTAATGACAATATGACGTTGTTTAAAGAAAATTAAAAATATCTTCAATTATGTAAATACAATTTTAATTGTAAATTTTATTATAATTAAATTTATTTCATTTCATCCAAAAAAGTATTATTGATTTTCATAAATATTTGTTTTTTTTTTTTTAATCTTTTAGAATAAAAAATAAATAATTCTAATTAATAAAAAAAAAAGACATAAAATGTGAGATTGGATTACTGATAATCTGTAATAACTTTTAATTTATTTATTTTCTCGGTAAACTCGTATCTTATGTCTATAATCCTTTGAGATACAATGGCCGCTTAGTAATTTATTTTTTATTTTTTTTTTAATTTAAACGTATTATATTAAAAAATACCTAATAGTTGCATTAATTTAATTAAAATTCGAACCGCCAATCAATTTATTACAATTAACAACGATATTGTATTTATTATCATAAACAATGAAATCGCTGATAAATGGACAGACAAAAAGGAATATCAGAGATTTCAACGTAACTCTCTCTACCGTTTTTGCCAGAGGGTTGATATTTCGAAAGCACTTTGAAGTGTCATGTTCATGTACATGTATGTCAATACGCAAATTCCAGAATTAAATTACGAGACATGAATTTTACTTGGCTTTTTTACTGGTAATTTTTTAAAAACTGAAAATTTGTCAATCAGCAGTTCACTGAGTCAGTTAAAAATGTATGACAGCTAAATATGGGATATTATTTGTAGCTTCATATAAAAACCGAATTAAGCATTTGGAAAAAAACATTTTTTAAAAAGTATTTACATTGTCAAATTCGTTAATTGTCAATTCAAATAACGAAAAATACCTAAAACCGGGATTAAATCATTTAAAAACAAAAGAACTTTTTTTCTTTTGAAATTGCATATTACAACCTGACTTATATTGAACTACGTCAATCACTGCGCGTCACGAGACGCGTAAAATCAATATTTTTTTTGTTAAAAAAAAAATTTTTTTTTTGTTCACAAAACTTTAATTAAAAAAATTAGTGTGACCTTATTCATTTATTGAGATAAAATGTCGTAGCAAGCTCGGTTCATTTTGAGCACTCAACAGTAGAATGCTCTTTTAAATTAAAAAAAAAAAATTAATGAAATAAACCGTCAGCAATTAAAATCTATTTATAACACTTTTAAAGCACGACGTATTGCTTCTTTATACACTAAAAATTGATAAAATAATTGCATAATACGATAAAAAAGGTAAATAATAATAAATTATAACTTATAACTAATTAAATATTAGGTTTGTCATTATTAATTACCAAGTATACTAATATATTTCAATTACATATACGCAATAATTGTAATAAGTTAAACATTACTCAGAATAAATCAGAGCTTCTCAATCTCTATGACATGTTTACATTTTTTTCACCTTGGGATTCTAAACCATTATGTAGATTTTGATAGCAAGTATATAAGAAAATAAATTCAAGTCATGTTCAAATATTATTTTTTGAGGTGGATAATATTATTTTATGAAGCTAAATAAAAATTATTTTGTGACTGTTTAACAAATAACTGTAGCAGACAATTTAACATTTCTATCACATAGGCACTCTGTTATTTCATTTATTTAGTATGTACTTTACTTATAAGTCATTTTTTAACTACTAAAATCTTCAACAACTATATTTGTTCAGATGTAAAAAAATAAGTTTGATAGTAGATTAATCATTTTTATACTTTAAAGAAGCATTACCTCCGTTTGCCAATTAAGTAATGTTTCCATCAAAAATTATAAGTCTAGATTTACAAATTTTATTCAACAATAATGAGCTTAAGAAGTGTTTGATTGGTAAATTTTTCGAACATGTACTTTATAAATTTTTCTATAATATTATTGATTTAAAAAGTTGAAAATTCCAAAAGCACAAAATTTCAATAATCATGCTGCGGTAGAAGCAATCAAGGAAATAGCGCTTCAGATGTGCAATTTTTGAAGTTTTTATTTATTTATTTATTAACCAAATTTTTAGACCCGGAAGCCTTAGCTCCCTTAGGGCCTTACATAGAAATAATAAAATTAGTTCAACAGTAATGGATATAAAATAATAAGACAGTAAAACTAAGAAATAAGAAAAGTAACGTTGTCTCTAAACAAGGTCTATCCAAATTACTATCTAATGACTTTAGTTCATAAAACAAAAGAAAAGAAAGAATATGAATTTGAATCTGAATCTAGCAGTATGATGTGTAGCACTAAATGGAACATTGCATAGATTATATAAGTTACAAAAGTCATTCAAATGTGCAGACAAGTTAGTATTAGTTAACATATTTTCAAAACTACTTATGTGCGGGTTTTCAACATACAATGCTACATAGTGCCCTTATTCATTACTATTAAAATACTTTTGTTTAGTTTAAAGCTTTCCAATATAGCCGTAGCTCTCTGCTAACGTATTTAGACATATTTATTTAATTAGAATCAAACTAAAAAGATTATAATAGTGACTTACGTTAGCAGCCTACGCTTCAATAACCAAAATCGATTACTAGAGGGATTGAATAGATAAATTCTGTCTTTCAAGCGATATCCTGAATGAAACGTCCGGATGTGCATACAATTAACTGACGTCAAGGATATTGAGAAGAAGATTGACTTTTCTATTATATATATATATATGAGAATTAAATTATTTTAAATTGTGATATATATTATATGGGCTTGATCAAGAGCGTAATGTATATTTTTTTTAAACTGTTTGTTCATGTTTGTAAGAGTACACTGATAGAAGGATTTGTATATAGTTAAAAAAAATTTGTTAATATTTAACAAATCATTTATTAGAGACCACTTTTTAGTCCTTAATAAATATTTCTTAGTATTTAAAAAAATTTATTAATATATTTAATAAATGAATATCAGATTTATGAAATACAAACCAATCATTTTAAATACTAAGAAATATTTGTTTAATACTAAAAAGTGGTCTTTAATAAATGATTTGTTAACTATTAACAAATATTTTTTGGTACAAATAAATTCTTCTCTATGGTATCAGGCGTTTTGATCCCCCGACAAAATATGGTTTTTCTGAAATAATAATAATTATAATTATTGAAATTTTCGAAAAATTTATTATTATATAATATATATAAATTATAAATTTATAATAATTTATAATTATTATTTCAGAAAAACCATATTTTGTCCGGGGATATTTTGTCGGGGGATCAAAAATCATGGAACCCCTTCTATCAGTCTAGAACTGCTTTTAGACGTTTCACGTTCAAGTTGGGCAATAACCAAATGCTCTTAGTCGTGAAAAATATAATATTTATAACAAAATGTCTGTATCCATAAATCGAAAATGCAAAAGCAAAGGTTGGCAAAGATGTATGGCTCTTTGAATGAAACGTACATACATTTATTCTATATAGATTAAAGTCCTTAGAGACGAAGAAAAGAGTGATTGGTGGTACGCCGAGCGTTTCCTACAGGTCAACCAATATTACCTATACACTGCTACCTATATACCAACACCGTCTTATCGGTCACAGATTGAAGATAACCCACGTGAGAAATCTCTCACTCTAACCCTCAGAATCTATTGAGTTTCACTGAGACGTATTCCACAATCCTCTAGATGCTACTTGTATGGATATTTTTACGTGTACATTACCACTTGAAATACATATAGTACATTTGCTACTGAATATAATCATGAATTTTATTGTCTTGCATTATTCAATCTCATTGAAACACTGAAAAAACAGTTGCAAGATAAACATCCTTGAAATAAATTTAATTTAATTCAATTTAAGTAAAGCAAAGCTAAGTAAAGTTGTTAGCGAAACAGTGTAAGTCATAAAGAAATAAAGTCAAACGAAAATTTTCTTAAAAGATAAAGAAAAAAAAGTACATTCTTTAATTAAAGTACCGTGATATTGATTATTTTATGCCTTTGGAGGGTTTGCACATTTTAACAATGAGTCACTGACTTTTTCATGTCGTTGCGGGGTCGTGAATCATTGTGCTTTTGCTAAGCAAGGATAATATAGCTACAATGCCCATGAAACCTTGTAGATTTAATAAAAAAAAAAAAAGCTATAATAATAAAAAAACATAGGAGTGACGATAATGGTAATAATTAAAAGGCTAACACAGTTACTTGAGTTTAAATAATGTTATACTATACTATTCATTATGTACCGGAAGGGGTTGAAGTGGTGTAACGTGAATAGTAAAATTTTTATGCTACTCAAATCGAATATCACAAGAATGAAATTGAATAGAATGAAAAGGAGGCTTCGGGACACGTCTACTTGCTGCTTGTAGGTACTTGACTTTATTAAAAACGTGGCGTGAATTTACAGGACTTCCGGCATGGTATTAAACGATTATTTTATACTTAATGGTATCTTATTACTTTTATTATATTAGAAAAATTATAATGAATAATAATAGTAATTATAATATTAATAGCAGTTTTGTTAATGACTCTTTATTACTGACCTATTTTCATTATTACTTTTAAATTAATATGAGAAAAAAAAAACTTTTAGTTAATGCCATTTCTTCAGTACTTAAATACACATTTATAAATTAAATATTCACGACAAAAAAATTTCATAATTATTGTTTGAAGCGAATTTATTTTTTTTTACCTTCATATTTTTTAATATAAATTATAAACAAAATTTTCTGATTTTTTAATACATATTTTATGAAATAAAAACGATTTTATGTTTAATTTTAGTTGGAGTATGATTAAACTCGTTATAAAATCACTCATGATCTCATGATCCTTAAACAACATGCAATTTATGTTAGAGTTGTAAATAAGCACTGGGTTTTGCAACGAGCTAAACATTACATGAATTTATAATAGATACTTAAAATTGAGATGTTTCATAACATTATTTGAGTCGAATAAGCAGTAGCTTAGGACATTAAGCTGCGAATATTTTAATTAAAATGTCAAAAGCTTACTTGAGGAGTAAACAAATCATTCACCTTGAATATTAATAAAATAAAAATCAATGTTAATAAAAATACTACCGCTACATATTAGTTATTATTTTATAACCGTATATACATATAAAAATATTGATTTTTATATTATAAATAGAAAGCACAAACAGTATAAGAGATATCACACGAGACTATTTTGAAAGCATGATCACTTAAGTGGAAGTCATGGCATGGAGCATTAGTCATCTCTTCTTGTAACCAGAAAGCAAGATCGGAAGTTGCACTCGAGCGTTTCGGTCTTGTCTTGTGTGTATTACGTTTATATATATGTCGTTTGCAGTGTCTTATGACTTGTGTGTTGTCTTTTGGGTGCATCGCGGTATAGTAAGCTTGAGGTCGATACAAATGTTCCATTCTTGGCTGCTTGCATCAAAAGAATAGAATGGAACAGAAGTAAAAAAAGCGAAAGAAAATAAAGTCGACTCAAGAAAATCCAACACACATTTTCTCTTTTTCTCATTCTCATTTCTTTTATTTATTACTTTACTTTTTTTTTTATTTATATTTTTTTTTTTCATCATCTTTTAAATATTCTTTTCTTTTTTTTTTTTTTTTTTCGTTTTTATTCATCGCCATAGAACATTCGACAATGTCCACAGCTCTGAGACTCTCAAGGGTTTCGTTGGCTTTTTTCATCTCCTCTCGTGTCGTCACTCTTTTTTCTCTCAACTCATAGTCTTATTGCACGTATCACACCTCTATATACTTTTTAACTTTACTCTTTCGGACTATCATATTTAACATGCTTTCTTTCTCTTACATGTACTTTAAACATACATATATACTTATAATTTTTTCATGTCTCTCGGTTCTTTGACTCGCGACCTCTTTCTCGGGTTTTAGCCGCAATGAATAAATATGTAAAAGCCACCGTCGTTTTCTTCAGCAGAGACCAGTAGAGAGAGTTAGGAGAATGGCTACTATACGCATCTAAATTGTATATATATTTATACCATTCATTCAATGGTAGTTCGACTAAATACACATAAATATGAAAATACATATATTACTCTTTTCATTTTCATATATTTATTATAGAAATATTGTCGTTATTAATTTGAATTAACTCTTCGTTTTAAATTATATAAATATTTGCAAATGTATACAAATGAATGTGTCATGTTGATATTCAAACTGACGCAATTGTTATATCATATTATTCTCACATACTCTTCACCACACCTACAAATAATAAAAAAACAATATTCTATTAAAATAATAATAATAATAATAATATACACATCATCATTGATCCATATGCCAATGTAACTTTATGCGTCAATGGTATTCAATGATTTTACAATTCTCTCTCTCTTTTTTTCTCACTTGTTTTTTTTTTATCATAATCATGGGGGAGTACATAGTTGTTCAATGAAATCAATGATTATATTTAACCATTAGAAAATTATTATAATATAAAATATTTGTTTCATTAGCTCACAGCATAAAATCTGCAATAAATTAAAAACAAAATATATATTAAAAAAAAAAAAAAAGAATTAAAATAAAACATAAAGACTTTTACCTATTTATTACATAATATTTAGTCTGAGAGGATTCATTTAATGCACTTAGTGCTTTGCTTTCTCTTATTTGCATTTTCTCCTCGTGCATTATTATACTTTTCATCTCTTGAATTTTCGCGCCCTCGTTACGCTCTCTAGAATAATAAATCTCCTCTTTAATTCTTGTTTCTTCTCATCTGCTCTTCTCTTGTCTTCTTTATCATAATTTCCTTCCACTACTCCAACACACGTCGTTCTTACTCAACTTACCTACTAATGCCAGTGAATACAGCGTTAACAGACTCTCGCTAATATACTAACTGATCAATTATCAAAGACTTAACGAGTCACATAGTTTGCACTATGCTAAAGTGTCAAGAAGAGAAAAGATATTATATGGTATAATAGAAGATGAACAAGAGGAAGAAGAAGAAGAAGAAGAAGGTTTCAAGGAGACGGATATCGATGTCAGAAGATCGTCGACTCAACAAACTTTTTAAAGCCCATCTTTCTTTTTCTTTTTACTCTCATCTCATCTTATCTAATCTCAGCTGCAGCCATAGCTTCTTCTTCTTCTTTTTAGCAATTCTTCTCTAGCTTACCAACGATTATTCTGGACGCGATTTAAATTTATTAAAAGTCCACTTACAAACCAGGTCGAGTCATGCCAAGAAATCGAATTGTCAGATTTATAAATTCAATTTATATGACTACTGTCATGAAATTGAAAATACTGAGAATAAATAATAATAAAAATAATATTAGGAAAGAGGTTTTAGAAAATTGTCAAGGATAAAAGTATAGAGCCTAGAATAGGAACGATTTGAAAAATCGATTTGAGAGATAGTGGTAACAATTGAGAGATCGAGAGAGAAATCGTTATCACACGCTACCATCTACACTACCCTACATATACATACATATCAAATATATAGATATATATATGAATGTATGTATTGCTTCCTATTCGTACTCTAAAGCAAACCTCATGCAATTTCCTGCGTCTGCAGTTGACGCTCTCCAGTCTCGGCAAACAGAGTCAACCCCACCGCGGGAGGATACCAGACCATTTGAAATTTAAATTACGCGGCAGATGGTAAATTTGTTGGATAAGAATAAACAAAAATAAAAATATTTAAAAAACAAAGTTAAAAAATTAAATTGAAAAAAATAAAAGCGAGAGACATCGATAAACCAGACCAATTCTTATTCCATGTTCTCGGACATTGGCATAAAAAAATAAAGAAAAAAGTAATAAATACTACATACATTCCATATATGGGTGATTTGTAAGGATGTTTTTGCTGTCCCAGGCATTTTTATATTAGAAAAATTGTTATTTTGTTACTAAAACAAATTTATTACGAAAGTAAAAAAAAATTTCTATTTGGAGCATTGAAAACTAAAATGAAATAAATTTTGGTTTTTTTGCTATAAATTCGTAAACCACCGAAATAGCAGTCCCCTGGACTGTCCCATTCCCCAAATTAAAACTTTAAGATTAAATTTTAAGTTATTCGTCCATAATATATTATTTGGTCCATAATGTTTATAAACTTGATTAGTTAACTAACAATCTTTTTCAATAAAAAGTACCGAAAATTAATTTGTTTCATAAAATTCATTAAACCAAAGTTTGTCCCAGGCATTTTAAGAACAGTCCCCTGCCAGAAGTTCAAAGCCAAAAAAAAAATCCAGCCTGTTATTTTACCTTTTGTAAGGTTTATAAGGACTTAACTAGCCTTGAATTAATAACCATAGGGCTGTTAGCGCTTTATCGCCATTTTATTTAGTGTCAAAGCACTGTTTGTGCTGGAAATATGTGTCTGGGCCACTTCAAAACTCAGTTCCCTGGCAACTATTTTTATTTATAATTTATTTATAAAATTGGATCCATAAGTCTTAATATTATTCTAATTAACGTAAACATTCATTGAGAAATTGAAAAGTTGAATGCATTGAAATAGTTTGCTGGATTTTTCTCAATTTGATAAAAAAAAAAAAACAGTCCCCTGTCATGATATATAGCAAAAGATACACAAAAATCGAAAAAGCAAAAATTAATTCGGCTGTTTATTTATTTTGATTAAGCTGATAGTTTTGTAGCCCCTGTTAATTTTTTTTCTAATAAAATCAAAAATAATTTGGTCGGACAATTTTGTACAGATTTAAGACGTCCTTACAGAGAATCACCGATATATACGAGGTTGTACATTGTCTGAGCTCTTATGAACTCTTTTATAACGTCATCATACGAAAATCCGAGTTATGTTGCCGGTAATCAGGTTAGAGGCGTTATGAGATTGCGAGGGCGAATAAAGAGAGATTGAACGGAATAGACCAGGCAAAAGAGAAAGAACGATTGTACTGGGTATGCTGAACCCCTTTTGTCCTTTCACTCTTTTCCTCTCTCACTCCGTCAATCCATTTACAAAACGTCGCTTTTACAAGTAAATCGAATTATTTTTGAATTTCAATTGATTTTACGTTACTTGTAGTGAAACATCATGCCATTTAAACGTCGTCATTACGTATATTAATCTAAAAAAAAAAAATTACCAAGCCAGCATTGATGTCTCTACGATTTAGTTAACACAAATCTGTCGTAGTCGTGATAAAAAAGAATAAGGCGGATAAACCGCTTATAGATTAATAATAAAGTTACAACGCCGCATTACTTCTGCCAAAATAAAATTAAAAAAAACTGATCGATCGTTATTAATACGCCGTAAAATAAAACTCACCTGTGTCTGTGCCACTAGGAGGCCGATAATCGCAGATGTCAGGCAAATGTTGATCATCCTTACTGACATTTTGTCGTACACACTTTTAAAATAAAAAAAAAACTCCTTACTCGCCGTTGCCGGCGCAGCACGTCTTGGTCCTTTTCTCTCTAAACGTACTAACGCCTACAATTAAATATTATTATTATTAGTAAATATTAAATTTACAAGTAATTAATAAATTATTCATTTAATCACAGATAAATGAACAAAACTTATAATAAATAATAATAAAATACACACGTAATGTCACGTCTTTAATATCACTTAATGATCACTCACAAGTGTGTCGATATGTCAATTTTATTATTACTATATTTTTATGTATTTAATATCAGTACTGGTAGCAATATTTTTCGTTATTTTATTGCGTAAATCAAGGTAGTATTATTGAGGTATACATATATGTTTATACATATGTGTATGTGTGTATATATCGAGAATTGACAGACACCAGAACCAGGCGCCTCACGGTTACCGCCGCGTAACTGTGCTCCTTCGTTTTCGCTACCCGCTGGGTGGGTCGCTCGATCAGACCACCGAACAACGACAATGAAAGAGCCAATATGGCGCCGCTGAATTAATAACCAATGAGAGACGTTTATCGGGGGCGGCTGCGTCATGAGAATGCGCAGTAACGCCAGTCGATAACGCGGCGGGAACCCGCTCATTTTAAAAATTACAGACAATATTTTTCGTATATTCCTCTAAAGCTCTCTGCTGTCAAATCCAAACCACATTCGTCCCACAAATTCGCTTTCGAGTCTTTATCTCTCAATAATATCTGATATTTAATCATTTAAATTGATATATTTCATTTCATTTTATTTTTTTTTTCTTCAAAAAATTTTTTGAAGAAAAAAAAAAATTTTTTTTTAATACTCAAATTAGAACAAAAAAATTTTTTTTTAAATTGCACTTACAGTTTTTGAAGTTTTTTAGACGTGCAATTTTTTTTTATTTTTTTGTAATGATTTTTTCAATAAAAAAAATTATAAAAATTTTTAAATGTCGGCTAACTTAATTTTCATAAAAATTCCATATTTTTACCGCTTTTCCTTCAAATACCTTTTTAACGCGTCAAGATATTTAAATTCTGTAAAATGCATCTAAAAGCTTAGAAAATAAGATTTAATTTACATGTTTACATATATTTATAGACCAAAAAATATCTATTCTGGGTCCCTTTCAATGAAATTTTACTCCTGCAGTCGTTTTGTTTAGTTTGATGGTTGAAATTTAATATTAAATAGAAACATTTTTAATAAGTTGATATTAGAATTCTACTTATTGAATTCACATTATTGTTGTACTAAAACCAGCAAATGTTTATTTTTAACAAAATTATTTCTAAATAGTTTTAAATTAATTATTTAATTTTTCTTTAATTAATGAATTATGTGACATATTATTATTAATTTTATTTTATAAAAAACAATTTTTTTTTTTATTCGAGAAATCTACTTCCATTTCGGCTGCCGAATGGCCTTTTTTTTTTAGTGTAAAAATTTAATTTATTTGATTTATCAATTTGTATGCATTTCTATTATATAATTCTGTTCCTTTTAGTTGAAACTTTATCAAGTAATTGAATGTATTGTTTATCAAAACTGTTCAACATTTTTTTTTTGAGTCGTAATTTATAGCTTCTATAAAAAGTTTGAAAAAAAAATTACGATCTTTTATTAATTAATTGCATATTCAATTACAATTTATATAACGCATATTTATTATGTGCGCAATAATTTCTTCAGGAAGCTGATACTATACTTGAATATTTGTTTATAAATTTTATATATTTTTCGAGAACCGTATGACAAATTGAACGTTCAAGTCATAGAAGAATTAAATTAAATTCCCTGTTTTATTTATCGTGGATGACATCAACAGTCGAGATTTATCATGCGCTTTTCTTTAATTTTTTATAAATGAATAAATCCATTTTTTATGAATTATAAATTATAATTAGGTATATCGATTGTAATTTTTACTCCATTTCCTCTAGAACCTTTAAAGTATTCATAAAAAAAGGAAACGTTGGTTTTTTAAATAAGTGTTTTAATATTATTGGGGCTACTTTTCCTGAGCTGTTTTTTAATCAATTTTTTAAATAAAAAATTGATTAAATTCCTGAGTCATTTATCTTTGTCAACAATTTTTATTTAAAACAAAATTTAAATAGTCAAGTATTCCATCACATTGATCAAATAAAAGGATTTGTTGTAACAATGTATTATTCAACAGCTCAGCATATTTTAATTTAATATTTTATAGGCAATATTTTAGTAATTTATTAAAGTGGATGCCAAAGTATTACTGCTAATGTATGGTATTCAATAATTAATTTATAAATTTATGTCGAGATCGTGATGTTTTCCATAATATTTTTAACTGCCGAAAGAAAAAAAAAAGTAATGAATTATACCGTCATGCTTGAAAATATAGAATAACCTAAATGAGAAAATCAATAAAAGAAAAACTTCGTTTTACCTATGTAATTAAAAGACTAGGGGAAATTTTATCTCTGGAGTGTTTATATGATAAAATGGGTTTTTGTAGTTAAGTTAAACTTAGTATAATTGGAAAGGTTTTGACTTCAATTTGTGAATTTTCAACGTTTCATATTATTTTCAGCGATAGTTAATTTATTGTATTAAATTTTCGAAGTAGTTTTCAATAGATTTTAATTTCACACTAAATACCATTTGTTTATTGATTAATTTTATTTTGTACATGTAATGTTGTTATACGTCAAATATTAATCTATATAACTAAGAAAATAAAGAAAATTTTGTGACGGGCTTGCCATTATTATAAAGTGGGTTTCTATAATTAAATTTGATGCCATCAGAAAGGTCGTAACTTGTATTAATATTTTTTCACAGGTTGATACTTTCTCGACGATAGTCAATTTATCATATAAATAATTAAAAGAATAAAGATAACTTTGTGACAAGCATATTTATATTTTAAAAGAAATTTTCACATCTATTGAATAGTCAATTTTTATGATGAGTTTTTGGCGCAGTCTTGAATAATTGATTGGTTTTATAATTGTTTATCCAATTATTGGTATTTATTCCTACAATAGAAATATTTTTTTTTTCAATTTATCTGAAAATTATACAAATTATGTATTTTGTCATTAAAAATATCTGTAGATCATTTAACCAAAAAGTTTTTTTATAAATAATTTTTAATTCTCAGCAGCTAGTTGCTAGAATTAAATATAAAATATAATATTGGAATCGTTAAATCTTAAGTAGTAATGTAAATTTTTAGTAAAATCCTGACATTATTAAGCTTTAATTTTTTTATTTTTGCAGATGAGTATATATGGTTTAAAATGACGATAGATTTTATTAATATTAGCTTTAGCTGAGAGTAATTAGTTAATTAAACATGAGTGAAAATTTTTTTGTTTGCAGAAGATTTGTCGGGTAATATTTCTAGAGGTTGGTTTAAATGTTAGGTCAATAAGTCTGAAGAAATAGAATTAAATTGATTGTACTGGTAACGATGAGAATGAGGATGAGCGTGCGGTTAACTCGAGTGACTCATTCGTTTTCTCATTGAATCAAGTTATACACTACAAAGCAATTGGAACACTTGAAGATTTTTCATATTATTTTTGACCTTTTTCACTTGTCATTCTATTTTATTTCGGTTAATTTAGATTTTTCTTCTTATCTTTATTTACTTATTTTGTTTTTAAACAAAAGTAGAGTGTGATTGGATGAGAACCGTAACGACAGGCGGTTTAATAACGGAAACTCGAGATGTCAAGTGAATAAGGCGAGTGGAAGTACAACGACAACCGGAGAGGGACTCGATTATCGAGGAATTGTCTCGGACTGGATTCCAAGCATGGGAATCCCGCAGAAATTGAAACGGCACTCGAATACCACGAGTATTCGAGTATACCACTAGCATTCTGTTCGATCGATCACAAAAGAGAACGAGAGTAGAGGAAATCAAGTGAGATAGATTAGGTTTTTGATAAAGATAAAAATAAGTACATACATTGTTATATGTTATATATACGACTAATAGACGGATTGTTGTCTGAGACAAATCGACGTCGTGGAAACGTTTTGCTCAAATAAACCCTATGTGTTGGAATCAACAACCTGTAGATGCTTTGCTCAAACTTGTTGTAAAGTAAAGCCAAAGCTGTCTAATGCTCGTCCATATGGATTTTCTTGTCCGCAATTGTCTTGTTTAGTTAAAGGACGAAATTCCTGCGTCGGCGCCTCGTTACTATAGTCATTCAAAGCAAATCCATCAACCTTGTACTGCAGAAGAATAATCAGACGCTGATCGTATTTAGACAGACAGTTTTTATACAAATAATACAATTATAGAATTATCTTTGACATAATAGAAGGCGATGTTAGCACAAAGTATGTCTAATGTAGACACAGATATACTTAGTACATGAAAGCAAAGAAGGTCAATTTATAAAATTGAAAATGGTAGTCTTAAATAATGACTGGTGGCTGACGACGATAATCCTCTGATGATGACGTTGCTGGATTCACGTGGTGGCTTTAACTCAAGCCATTTCATTGGCTCTTTCACACTCGCTATATATTATATATATAATATATATATATAAAAAGAGAGAGCCTAGTCAAGCTATATCCTTCGGGGATTTCCCCTTCTGTGAGCTTGAAAACTCCCTACTGCTATCTGTCCACGTCGTTTCCACCCTCAGCCAATGTGTAACAAACCAGCCCCAGAAAGTCCAAAAGTCCACATCTATCGCTTTATTTTATCCTCAATTCCTCACGTTAATCCTCTTCTATATATACTCTTTCTCTTTCTCTTTACCAGTTACTTGACCAAGTTGACATCAATTTTCTTGCTGGCAGAAAACTTCTCTCATCTCTTGAGTCTAACGTATAAAGCTTTGAAACTCTCTTGCTCTTCATAATTTTCTCTCTAACTCCTTTTAGAATTTTTTTTTTTTACCCTTTTTCGAAGACTTTGCCATTAGGCCAAGTACGTCTCGTTAGCGTTAGTATATACCCAATATTACTGTGTACTGCGGCTAAAAGCTCAAGAGAGTGGAATATTTGATAATAATAATGTGATTATATAAATTTACAAAAACCTAAAAAAAAAAAAAACAAAATAAATTAATAAAACTTATATTTTATTTTTTACCTCAACCACTGCTGCTCCCTCATTGCCTGCTGCTATTTTATACATACATAATTTACAAACTCATATAATTTTATAATAATATTTATCTCGGAATAAAATTTAAACTGTAAACTGTTTCTCTCGTTTTCTTGCCTACGGCATTGTAAAGTTCTTAGTAACAAACTTTTTTCTTCTCTAGCGCTTATTCTTTTACCCATTCTTCGCTTTCATCATTTTCTTCTTCTTCTTCTTCTTCTTTTACTTCTACTTTGTTATTTTCGCTCTATTTACATTAGCAGTTTTTGTTTATTTTTAAAAATCTATATGTATATATGAGCGATACAAAACTGTGGGAAGAAGAGGAGAAAAATAAAATGATAAAGAAAGATAGAAAAAGAGAGAGAAAGTGTAAGAGAGAGTAGCCTTGGCCCGTGAGTTTTCTCGCTCGTGTGGCGGGCGTAGCGTAGTCACGGTTGTCCTGGCAACGGTATCGATTTCAACCCTCGGCTATGCAGTAGAAGAACCCAGGAACGAAGCCCACCATCACATGTATAACCAACTACCAGTGCACTTTGACACCATAGGGTTGTGTTTTCCACCCTCTTACTCCCTCAATCCTTCTAGACTCGCGCTCACTCTCACTATCCTTTTGCGCTTAAATTCTTTCTCTCTCATCTTTCAAACTTCCTCTGTCTCTTCACACCCTTATTCCATACTACTCACCGCTTTTGGTGTGCTCTCGTTGAAACGCCGGTTTCGACAACGCGATTATACTCCATAAACTCCCTTTACAATCCAAACTGAGCGAGCGAGTGAATGAGCCAAAGTTACACTCTAAAGAAGAGAGACAAAGATAGAAAAAGATAATGAAAGAGGAACAGGAGGGCAAGTTGAAGCTTCTCGATGCCTCTAGCATGGGAAATGTACGCCTGAAAATTCAATTCTCTCGTTCATTTTCACGTTGTATATAGTCAATTCTTTTACACTTACCCAATACAAGAGACAGCAACATCTTAGAAACTACTGAGGCTTTAAGCCTCAAGCTAAATGACTCAGAATGCCGCCGGTAAATCCGTAAAGTAATAATAAAATAAAAAAAATAGACTTGATTTTAAGGAAAATCTAATTCAATAACTTCAATTGAATATATATGTATGCTTTTAATATCAAAATATTTAAAAAAATTTTTTAAAACAATCGTCATAAATTTATGCATATAAATTTTTGTAGTTTAATTTTACGATTCATTTATTTGTTTTTTAATAATCTCAGAGGAATTTTTAGTCTCTTATACTTGATGCCGATGATGCTTCAGTATAATAGAGCAGCAACGTAAAACGCGATTATTTGTTCACAAAGAGCTGACGATACCGCACGTGCCATCAGAGTCCAGCGAATCCGTTTTATTTCCTCTTAACAATAGAGTCTCGGTCGTACCGTTATCCTCCTCCTCTTTGCCTCTGACATTCGCGTGCCAGTCACACCGCGTTCGAGAGAGGCTTTTTTTTTTATTATTTTATTCTGTTTTCTATTTTTTTTTTTTTTTTGTTTTTTGACTTACCCTTCACTGTTGAATTCACTGTAAAATAAAAGACGATTACGCTTCTCGCGAAAAGTGAGAAAGATGCCAAAAGATTTATCTTTTATCATTGGTTTATTTTTTTAATTTTTTTTAAAAAAATATATGTGGATTTCCTCGATACTTTTCCCTTTTCTTTATCCTCTTTAGTAGAACAGTAACAGCCGTACCAGAGTATCATTTATTCTTCTTTCTCTGTTGGATACTCGTAAATGCCGCAAACTTTGTTTGCTGGAACGGCTTTGTCTGAAACAATATTCGACTGTGAGGCTCTTTTCAACGTCATCAGTAAAACAAGACACGTCTTGCTACTATACTCTACAACAGCCTGTCATGAGAAATTTCAAACTTTTTCTCTGTTCTTTTTATTTTACTTTTTATCTCACACTCAAGAAAAAATAAAATAAACGATAAGAATAACTAGCTTCTGCTGGGCACTCAAAAAAGTTTGAGATTAAACACTGCAGGCAAATATAATTGATCTGTAAATATACGTATATACTAAATTAATTAAACATACCAATCATCTTTGGATATGAAAGATTTAAGTTGTTCATAATCTTGATAAATTCATCCTTAGTTTTAGTAAGTCGAGGATTTAAAATACGTTCTTCAGCAACTGTTGTTACAGTTCGACCGGTATAGTCATGAGCTGGATAAAGCCGGAAGTTTGATGGTAAATTAAATATTAACTTGTGTACTGATTCATAGAGCGTTTCTGGTGAGCCACCCTTTGTATGGAAAAATAAACAAAATATATAATTGAATATTCTTTTGTTATTTTACTGACTTCTATACTATTTTTCATCATATGTAATACAAACCTGGAAGTCTGTTCTACCACATCCACGGATTAAAAGTGTATCTCCAGTAAATGCGATACCTTGTTCATGACATACGTACGTCACGCAACCTGTATCCATTAAAAAAAACACACGTAAGTTTAATAAATGATTATTTTTATTGATTTTTTTAAACTGTCTGACCTTCGGTATGACCTGGAGTTGATAAAGCTTCTAATTGATGTCGTCCAAAATTAATTAAATCATGTGGTTCAAGTAAAATATCCGCTTGCGCACCACTACGTCGAGATATAATTGATTTACAACCAGGTAATATTGATTTTAATTTACCTGTTCCTGTTATATGATCGGCGTGCATGTGGGTGTTTACTTAAACATAAAATATAAAATAAAAAATTTTTTATTTCATCTACTTTTGATGAACATGACAAGAGCATGGTGTCTTATATTATTTATTAGGGTGCGTCAAAATTTAATCGCTAAAAGCAACCTTTTAAAATTGATATTTTGAGTTCCGCTTTTAGCAGGAGTTAGGTTTGGGCATTTCCTGAGATATTTTGATGTGTCAGGATTTATTTGATATTTACATAATTTTTTAACAGAAGTTTTGTTTAAGCATTTTTTCTGGAATTTAAAAATTTCAAAATTTGGCCAAACGAAGCTCCTGTTAAAAAATTATGTAAGTATCTAATTTTAAAAGGTTGCTTTCGAAGATAAAATTTTGACGCACCCTATTATTTATGTAATCTTTCTATGGGGATTAATGAAATACTATTAAAGCAATCAGAACACTTTGGCTTCTTGAATGTAATTGCCAAAGTTTCTCGTTAATTCTGCAATCCTTAGGTAAGTTGTCAAATTCTCTGAAGGTAGAAAGCTTTTGGCGCTAGTAGAGTTGTATGAGAAATTAAAGTTTTATGTAATGAAAGTTTAACAATTGCTGAAACTATTCTGGGTATTATGATTAAAATTTTCTACTAACACTCAGTACATTACAGTCTAACAATTATAGACATGAGCATTTAACATATTTGTATGTAATGTACTTTTATTGGAATATATAATATTTACTTGCGTATTTGAGTTCCAATCCTAGATCTTTAATTAATGTAGCATCTCTATCAGCCCATTCTAATACTGGATCTATCAATATTGCCTTTTTTTGCGTTGTATCAGCTAATAAGTATGTATATGTACTGGAAGATGGGTCGAATAGCTGTAAATTAAATGTTAAACCCAATATTTAGTACGGGACGAAATTTGTTATTCATTATGTATATATTCTATTGATCTACAAGAGTTAACATTATGTACCTAGTTATTTATATTGTAGTCAATAAATATTTAATTATATCGTTTAATTTACCTGGCGAAACAAGATGTCATTGGAGAGAGGTATATGCTCTGTTAGAGTTTTATTCTGACACTGATGTGCAATTGACACATACCTTCTTGTTGTTTTGGTAACACAATGCTGCGAGACAGTTGTTGCAAATATTTTAGTACATTTTCTAAATAATTTTGACATTTTTAATGGTAGAATTCGGAGTGATATTTAAGTACATTAAAAATTAATAATACTCATCCGTCACATCAGACTGAAAAAAATATTTTATTAAACATGTGATCTGTCTGTATCCTATTTATATCAAAGCATTAAATTATCTAGTGAGATAATTAATAAATCAAATGCTATTTTTTTAAATTATTGGTTCCACTTATCATGTTATCACAACATAACCTAAATGACATTACTTTATATCCGTACTTATAGTTTTTTTTACAAGTCAATAAATTAAAATTTTGAACATAAAAGGTAAAAATCATCAATCTGTCAACTTTCCATTTAAATTTTACGAGGATTTACATTTTTCAATTTTTCAAAATTTTATTAATTCAAATCAATAATTTATAAAATAATTTGAAAAATGCGCGCCTTTTTAGTTTTGTAAGCCTAGGGAGCAAAATTATAATCTCAGAGAAATACAACACTGCCATCTTTATAAGTTCTTTTCCTTCGTGATAGCTAAAGGTTTGTCATGACTTTATTTATGTTCATCAATTAAATAATATTTAAATATTATTTAACAAAGTTTTTAATAATTTATTAAAAACTCAATTAGCTGTGATTGCTACATTGATAATTATTTTTTGCTATTTTTTGCAACGTTAACTCACGAGTAATATTGTTCACTGAGCTCCATGTGATATCTGTTTGACGTGACATCCTAAATTAACCTTTTTTTATTTGTAAAATCTGAACTATTACTAATTATTTATTATTTCAGATGCCTTCCGTAACTTTGAAGGACGTTGACCAGCACAAATTTGTGCAAGCATTTTCTGCATTTTTAAAAAAGTAAGTTTTAGAAAATATAACCTAGCTTTTAAGTTATTTTCCTACATTACCAACCTTGTGCTAAAAAATTCAGATTCGATTTTATAAAATCAAAAAATTATTTTTTTTTTAAGTTACAAAAAAAAACTGAATTGACAATTTTTTTTGTATACAAATTGAAAGTCAGATTAAATAAAAATTTTATTGTTTTATCAATTGAAGCAGAATTTTGAGACAAAAATTATTCACATGTGAACATATGCTGTTAACTAATAAATAATTATTTTAAAGGACCGGTAAATTGCGTGTACCAGAATGTATGGACATCGTGAAGACGGGTCAGTTCAAAGAGTTGGCGCCTTATGATCCAGATTGGTATTACACACGTTGTGCGGCCATCGCTCGTCACATCTACATCCGCAGTCCCATTGGTGTTGGTGCAGTAGCAAAAATATTCGGTGGACGTAAACGTAATGGAACTCACCCCAGCCACTTTTGCAAATCTTCCGGTGGGATTGCACGTAGAGCTCTCCAAAGTTTGGAGCAGCTTAAACTAATTGAAAAAACACCAATGGGGGGTCGTAAACTCACCAGCCAAGGACGACGTGATTTGGATCGTATTGCTGCTCAAGTAAAAGCTAAATGCAAAAAGCAATTGAAGCTCCAAGAAACTCTCGTTCTTTAAGGATTGTATTTCAATAATAAAACTATCAAAATCTAAAAAATTGTTTTCTTAATTAAAATTTTTTTTCTTTCGTATTAACTTTTAAGGAGGTACTGTGCAAAATCACTTTTCTTACAATATACTTCAATTTTTGAATACGCGTACCTTTAAAATTTTTTTTAATAGCAGGGTGGCGATTGACCTGGAAAACCTGGAAATGTCAGGGAGTTTTAACTTGAGTCAGGAAAATTTCTAGTTTATTTTAAAAAATAAACTAGAATTCTGTAGAAAAAATAAATTATTTCTATAGCATTCTAAAAATCGTACTGTAGATAATGTTTAATATTAATTGATGTTATTTAATTTCTTAATTTATATTTCTTCTTTTTTGTGATCAATAATATTAAAAAAACTAAATGTATGGATAATTAATAATAAAAAAGAAGTATAACTTCTCAATGATTGATGATAATAATAATATCAATTGTATTTTCAAAAGTTATAAACATTTAATCGAAAGAAACTGATCTTTTTTGAATAGTTGAAAATCTGCAAAAAAGTATAACATAATTTATAGCTCCAAATTTTTACTCAATTCTGAATATTAGATATGAATTTTAGCATACAAAAATTATTTTTAAAATAATTTGCAATTATAACGAATACTTGAATAACAATTATTTTATTATAGGTTCTGGAATTTTATTTTTGGTCAGGGAATTTTGAAATTAGTGTTCAGTCGTCACCCTGTAATAGTTCTTGCGGTGCTAATTTTCGAAATATTAGCAATTAAAAATCGTACATTTAACATGTATTCCCTATCCTGACTAGTTAGAGTGAACATTTTATTGAATAACAACTATACTTTTCTTAGAATTTTTTTAAAAAACAGAATATTTATTAATCAAAATTTTTATTAATTTTTTATCGAAAAAATTTCAATTAAACAATTAAAAAAAAAATATCATATGTTAAAAACTTAAAAAACTATACGTGCAATTTTTTATAAATATCTTTTTAATTGTAATTTAATTAAAAAAAAAAAAAATCAAAAATTTTTAGACGTCTGCTAATTTCAGTGTCATATATTTAATTGAAGTTATAACAAGTATTTTTTTATCAAAAATAACATAAACGAGCGGCACTCATTTTTTTATAAAAAATCTTTGAAGTTAGCAGCAGCACAAGTGCGTGAGAAAGAAACCAATAGCCATAACCTATTGGTGTCTTTATTTACCGTAGTACCTCCTAAATATCTTTTCTATCGGCAGTATTTTGAGGGCAGCTGATAAAAGATGGCGTTAGTATGATGCAGAGCTCGTGCTTATCAACCAAAGTTGCGGCATCTAGATGTGATGGACTATGCGCGTTAGTGAAATAAAAATCCAAACAGCAACGCCACACAACACAAAGAATATTCACGAAACGAAAAACATATACACATTTATGTGAATATGTGTGCGTGTGTATAGATTGAGCTCTGACATAAAACTAAAGAAGTTAAAGCTAAACGGTACGCTGGTAGCGCAGTCTTTCGCGGATGGTTTACAGAAACTCACGATATAATACGTTGTAACTCAGATGTGTGTATACTATACAGTAGTGTGTTGTGTTGTCTGTTAAAAACAGTTGAAAATTGTCTCGGCACCGACCGAGTCACACAAGTGTCGGTTTTATCATACACAATAGTCATCAGTGAGCTTTATAATACATAAAACCACTAGTCATCAATCGTGTTTCATATAAAATAATCAAAACACAAATATATTCTCAATATACATTAATATTTTTAATAATAATAATATTAGTTATTATTGTCATAATAATGTATAGTATAAATTGTGTTGATGGATCCATTGTGATCCTTAAACAAAATTCCATAACATCGATTCATCGTTCGTAAGTTTTGTGACAATAAATAAATCTCAGAAGAATATTATATATTTTATTGAATTAATAAAATAAACTGTCTGTTTAATTACGATTTAATTTTTTGGATTTAAGACTAACTAACTGAGTGCAAATAAGATGTTACGAAAATAATCACGAGCTCATGCTCAAAGCATGTGCTTCATCTAGACAGTAAGTGTTAATGTGATAGATGTTTTATGGATTTTATACGTACATATATTTATATATATATAAATATATATAAATCTATAAATGTGTACATATCAAAATGGTAATTATTAATACATTAGTTGATATTATTAAATTATAAATTTGTTTATTTATTTATTTATCTTTTTGTTTTTTGACGCAAGAGAAAAAGTGAGAGGCAAAGCGGGGGCGTAAAAAAACGAGAGGTGTGTTCTAGCCTCCACCTCCTTCTTCATCTTATTCGACTGTGATTCGCAAACTCATATTATATTATATTATTATACAATTGTGACAGTTTTGGTTTTATTGCTATCAATGTGACCGTTTATTTTTATCCATAAATAATTGGAGCACAAGTAATAATTAAAATAACAAAATGCCTGGGTTAATTGCCGTGAGTGAGTTTGTTGAGGAGACAAGGGAGGATTATAACTCACCAACCACCTCAACTTTTGTATCACGGATGCCACAATGCAGACAAACCATAACTGCACTTGAAGAAGTAAGTTTATGTTTTGGTATTTATTTATTTATTTATTATAAATAATAATAATTATTATTATTATTATTTAGTGTTTTATTTATTTATTGAGAGGCTAGAGATTTGACACTGGAGACAAAAGTCTTGACATTCTGACGTGTACAATTTACTATCAAATCTCATTGATTTTATCGCTTTAATGATGTTAATTGTTGATATTTTACAATAATAATTATTTTATAGATTTATTATTCATGCAAAAAAATAATCAACAGACGGAATTTTTATTATAACAAGCGAAAAAACAAACATGAAATTTTATTCAGCCGACGAATTAGTTTAGATTTTAAAACAGAGTGGAATGCGAATAAATAAGCAAAAAAAAAAAACAACGATATAGATAACAATAATGATAAAAAGCAGTTATAAGAAATAGTGAAACAAAAAGTATAAAGAAAGAAAAAGAAATGAAAGAGAAGTGATCGAATTTCTGAGGATTCACGGCATAATATTTTTTTGTTTATTGTTCTAAACGAGGTTCAGAACACTCAACATTTTTTTACTTTCACAATCATGATTATTATTGTTATTTTATTTTAATTTCAATGACGTGACGATTGAGACGATATAGAGAAGGAATTAAACAAGGAAACCTTATCGTGTTAACGTCCGGTGCCTGTCCATTCTCCATTCAATCTTGTGATATTTCCGTACTTGCACCGGATATGACCCTATCATTTTTTTATAATTTTTATTCGTTTACATTTTATGTGACCTTATAAATTAATTCTATAAATAATCAATTTTTAATTTCGTTAAAGTGACAGCTAAATAATTTATCATGCTCAAAAATGTGTTCTACACATACTTACATACATATATATAAAATATACCCCATTAAAAGAATTTGGCGGGAGATTCTATTGTAAGCTGGCAGGGTGTTTTTTTTTCTTATGTGTTATTATTCATATGTCCGAGGGGCTTTTGGGATAGTTTAGTACCTACAGCTGTCGTTAAATTCCTCATACAATGTAATAGTGTAGATATGAATCTACATATATATATTTATATACTATTGTAGATCTAGTCCACGTTTATATCCTCAGATGTCTCGCAAAAGTCTGAAATTCTAGTTTAAAATCAACTTGTATTTCTAAAATACATTCTCGGATATCTTTTATTTCTATTCATATTATTTTACGTTTTATATAACCAGTTCTATATAAATTTTATTACAAAAAAAAAAAAAAAACTCACATTACATTTATTTTTAATCAATTGTTACACAATTATTGATATTTTTCAATTAACAAAAGAAGTTGGTCCGGTAATAAAAAACGATACTTATCGCATGAACGGATGATTTACAAAAAATTGTTTTTTAATACTTTTTTTCAGCTTATATAAAAATATCAATTACTAGAGAAAGAGTGAATAATGCTTTAGAAGAATAAAAAAAATCGTTATATTGACTAGTCATAAAAATAAATGGGATTTAAAATCTTAAATATAAAAATTAAACAGAGCTGACATGTAAATCTGAATTTAATATTATATTATATTATTTGTATACATGTATTTATAACTGATGACTAATGTAATGAAAAGTATGTACGTATTCTTAGACAATGTAATATTATTATATACGTATGTCACGCATTACATTACACGTATCATAACATTAGAATGAATGGAATGGAAATGGAAATAGCAACAGCACTAAGTGAAGCGAAAAGACGACAGAGACGATACGGAGACTGGAAAGAAAAAAAAATAATAACATTAACTGATGATAAATAAAAGATAAGAAAATTATTTGAATAAAGCACACAGTGAAGATAAAATAAAAGTGCGTGGATATTACATGTTATCTTAAGAAATGATTAAAAATACAATAAAAACAGTGGATCAATGTCCTGGGGGGTCAGGGGGCGTGGAACTTGATGCTTCAAAGGGAGTGCCCTCACCTCTAAATAGGTCAAATAAAACCAATCTTCAAGATATAATATATATAAAAAATTATTTAACAATCTACATACACCCTTTTACACTTATCCATGCACAAAATACGCTTATTAGTTACCATGTTGGTCATCATCAAAAGGTGTGGTAAAGTAGAAAAAAAAATTCATCAGTACATGAAAATTATTTTTTTTATTTTATGTATACGGTCACTCATAATCTTACGGACTGCTTGTATACATACAATATGTAATGTTTAATAGCCTTATACCTGAGTTTGCCTCTACTCTGCTGATAAAGGTACCCAGTACAAATACATAGGTACAACAAGTTTAAAAAATAGTAAATAAAATGAAAAAGAGTCATAAATCAGAAGAAAAAACTAAAAGATAAAGAAGAAACAGACAGACAGACACAACTCGGACATACTGCAACAACAACAACAACAACAACAACACAACTTGATGGCGAATTTCTCGTAAGCATGTTCTTTGTAAATTACAGCACGTAACCGTTGCAATATAAACGACCTACCAAGGCCGAAGCTCCAGGAATTCCTTCCACTCACTGTGCTGCTGGTAGTTTGTTATGTGTTGGGGTTTATATTCACTACCTTGTACTCGGATTTACTCGGTTTGCTCCGTTCTTCATCGCTTAAACCTGGATCACCTGCTTCTTCTTTTCTTCATCTTCTTATGGTACTTTATTCTCCACAATTATTCGCTGTATTTTTAATTCCCGACATTTTAATTATACTCGTTACGTAGCTGTAAATGGCAATTAAATCTTTAATTATAATGTGTTATTATGGGTATGAATAAAAAAAAACTTTAAATATTTATATGAAAAAAAAAAAAAAAATTAACATTATTACTTAATCGGAAGCAATTGTAAGGCAATCACATTTAATGTGTGTTTACGGCAAAAACAACTTTTTCCTCTTTCTTTCCTCTTCTTCTTTGTCCTAGGTCAGTGTCTTATGTATGTATTTTTTTAATGTAATGTATATAATAAGTATAAGTATAAGTATACAAACGGGCGATGGTATGGAAAACCGGAATGCTGATTTAAAAAAGATAAAATTATATTACTTTTTTTAATACAGTAAAAAAAAGTAAAGGGAAGATGGATAAATTGGTATGACGGAGGCGTTTGAGTCAACGTTCAATGAAAATATGTGTTTACATGTTTTGTATGATGATGATGGTGATAATAATGATAATTATTGTTATTATATGTATATATACAAAGAAGAAATTCATGAGGGGTTGGATTTGTTTGGTTGGACAGGACAGTGCTCCAATTGTATTATAAAAGTACTCTCCACCTGTCCCACGTGCCTGAAATTACTTCCGCTTGTAATTCCTTCAATTAACACTTGCGAATAAACGATGACAATTAAATCATGGGATACTTGTGTATGTATGTATGTGTAAGAGGAAAAGCGAATAGATTATGTCATGTGTTATTTAAAATTTAATAACTCCAAGAAAAAAAAAGGAGTGAAAAAATCAGTATTTTTTTCTACTGTCCTTCATTGGTATGAGAGCAAGCCAATTAATAGCTTTATATTCGGGGCAGTATTAAAATAAAACAATGATTGCCTTTGAACTTTTGTCTGCGGCAAATCTATTGTCAGTATATCATTAAGTCTTTCATCAATAAATTCATTTATTATTTTTATTATTATTGATTAATTAACTAATTTATATAATAATAGCTTTTGATGAATACCCAAATAGTAAAACGTATTTACCGTCCAGTGAGTTTTAATAATAATTAGTATATAAATTAAATTGTTGTTATAATGACCTTGCGTGCACTGTGACTGTGTTGTTGATTAATGCCTGAATGAAAATCAAATTTTCATGTTTATTTATTATCATTTACCATTTAAATTGAAATTAAAATTTATTTTTTTTTTCTTTCAGACCCTGGACTTTGATCGTGAGGGTTTAACGAAGCTCAAGAAGGCGATCAAAGCCATCCACAATTCCGGAAATGGTAAGAAGCTGATAAAAAAAAAAAAAAAAAAAAAATAACTAAGAAGCTAAATAGAAACTGAAGACGGCTCGGTACTGAAAGTCGAGTGTAGTAGAAACCTTAGTACTTGCTAGGTGTTTTCTTTGAGAAAGAACTTGACACGGGTCACGCGCCAAGTCTCATCATAACGTTCTCGACTTTAATAAAGCTTATGGATTATAATAATAGTTGTAGTGTTGTAATATAGCAACAGCAATATTGTACACTCGGTACAAAGTACATTGAGAAAGGCAGCAGTCAGCAACGGTAGACGGAATCGATTTCTCTGGCGCCTCTCGTTTCACTGCTGCTGCTACTTTTCTTACATTACTCCAGCTCAATGCCTTTAAACACAAGAATTAAATATCTAGTCGATGACCTCTCTTCTCTACCAGATTTTAATTTATAATTATTTTTATCAATTTAAACAATTAATTAATTAATTAATATTATCTGTATTTTTAGCGCACGTGGACAATGAAGTTTACTTGGGAAGAGCATTGGAAAAAATGGGAGATGCTGCGCTTAAAGAACAAGAGCATGATATTGGTGCAGCTTTCTTTAAATTTGCCGTTGTTACAAAAGAACTCAGCGCATTAATGAAAACTCTTGTAAGTGTACACAATATTTAATTTATAAAACGTACAATTACGCTGCATTTATGTACAACGCTTATAAAATTAATGGACACTGGATTGTACGAGTTGACAGTTGATGATGATAAAAATGACTATGATTATGAGAAACGACATTTGCAAAGCTTGATAGCTTGATAATTGGATGATGATTATGATAATGATTGTTTCAATTGTGTGATGGATCAATTAATGCGATACAACTCTCGAAGGCCGGCCCTCAAGCTCATTGGTATTACTCATTAGTCGCCCGGTGCAAATTCATCCTGTCTCGATGTATGTTGCCTTATTAGTCGCTGTACGTTGTGTAACATCCTCGACACGTTTGCCACGCGTCATGATTTTTATTTTCTTCCTCCTTTATCTTATTGTTTACCTTGCAGAAATTTAATCGGTGTCTTTTTAAATTATCATTTTTAATTAAATATTTATTACTCTTTTTTTTTTTTTATTGTTATTAATTTATTTTAACGGCTACTTCCAAGACTACGGGCGTGGAGAAAATGTATCCTCAGAAAGGAATGCCCAAGTAAAAATAATCAAATTGAAAAGATTTCTCTAGAAACAATACAGTCGGATGAAAAAGTTTTAAATATTAACGAAAGCTTTGTGCTGATTTAAAATGATTGTTTTATTTTTTGTATTTCTAACATTTGTTATTGATTAACGATAATTTTTTTTTTTAGCCGGGCCAATTCGACGGATTATTTTGTGAAAAATTTTTATGTCAATTAAATGTTCTGAAACTTTTTATTAAATATTGATGAAAGTTTTTTTTTATTATAATTGAAAATAAAATAAAGCTGTCAACGGAATTGATTTTTTTCTGAAGTATGCGTACTTTACAGACGGCTTTTATCAGAAGCACATTCAACCTTTATTCTCCGATCATACCACACGTTTCGACAAGTAAAGCATCAAGGGGGAATCATGCTCGAGAGCATCTAACTTTAGAGGGGAAGACCATACAAAACTATATACTATACGTATATGTCCATAGTGGTCCTTCACTTTTTCTTTTTTTTTTAATGCTTCTCTATCTATCTATTTAATATTTCTGGTCCTTTCTCTTTCTTATCCATTTATATGAGCAAGAAAATTGCTAACATAGCATACAGCATAGCATTATGAGTCATCGTGCTGTCAAGAGGGCTAGACAAAGGATCGAGGGTTATAGATTTGAGAACGAGAATAAGTACTAACCGGCTATAGATTAATGCAGACTATAGATATAATATCGTGTATATATAGCCTGCTTATAAACTTACCAGACTAGACATCAAGACGCTATGATGTGATTCCTTCCTTATAAGATGTTCCCCTCGGTACAACTCATCCGCGAAAACCCCACCTTTAATGTTGAATCACTTTCATCTTCATGCTTACCTTTATTTTCTTTTTCATTCTACATAATAACTTTCATTACATATATAGTTATAATTTAAATAATAATAATAATAATAATAGTAATAATTTAGATTTTCAACTTAGTGGCAATCCAGTCTAAGACACCGATGTTTAAATTTTTTATTTTTATTTTTGCCCTACCAGGCATCATCAGACATTTATTTATCATTTATTACAATTTTCATACACTTTTTCCAACGTCAACTGCAATTTTTACAATTTTTTTACAATTAATATTCTAAATTCTTTATATACATTAAAAATAATTGTTTTTTTTATAAAATACACTTACTTGATAAGATGATTATATTTAATAACTCAATAATAGTTGTTAGATTATTATTGCCCCTAATAATAATAATAATATATTATTTTTCAGATGCAGAATATAAATAATATTGTAATGTTTCCACTGGATTCAGTGCTGAAGGGCGACCTGCGAGGCGTCAAGGGCGACTTGAAGAGGCCTTTTGAAAAAGCCTGGAAGGACTATGAGGCCAAGTATGCAAAAATAGAAAAAGAAAAAAAACAACATGCTAAAGAAGCCGGTCTTATACGATCAGAAGTAACACCAGCTGAGATAGCTGATGAAATGGAAAAAGAACGTCGTTTATTTCAATTACAAATGTGTGAATATTTAATAAAAGTTAATGAAATAAAAACTAAAAAAGGGATTGAATTGTTGCAACATCTTGTTGAGTACTATCATGCTCAAACAAATTACTTTCAAGACGGCTTGAAGACTATTGAACATTTTGGATCTTACATTGCAGATTTGAGTGTTAAATTACAAAAGATAAGACAAACACAAGATGAGGAGCGAAGACGTTTAACTGAATTAAGAAGTCTCTTGAGGAGTTCTGGTTGTGATAAGGAAGTTAGTTTTATCTTGTTAATTTATATTATTTCGTTTACATTATTATTACTGTGCAAATTCTCAAGTTAAACTTTTGTATTTATATATTTAATAAGTTACTTACTGAATTTTTAATAGTAATTTTAGTTTTTTAAATTTAAATTACCATTGTTTAATGTACACCGAAACAATTTAACAGTTGAATGCAAACGCCAGTGTTGGATACTCGCTTCATCAACTGCAGGGCGACAAACAGCATGGAGTAACTCGTTCAGGCCATCTGTTAAAAAAGAGCGAGGGTAAAATGCGACGTGTTTGGCAAAAACGTCGTTGTGCTGTTCAAGCAGAAGGTTATCTTGATATTTGTCATGCTGATGAAAACAAACCTCCTACAAGAGTTAATTTATTAACATGTCAGATAAAATTGGTACCAGATGATAAACGTGGTTTTGATCTCATTAGTTGTAAGTTTATTTATCTAATATTATTCAAATTAAAACCACCACTATTGATAAATTTTGGTATTAAGATCAAATTTTTGATTACGTTCATTATTAAGCTAATTTTGCAATGTTTTTCTGGGCTAATTCCAACTTCTTCAGATATCTTGAAAATTAAATCAACGTCATTATATTTTTGTTTAGTCTTGTCTGTATTTAATTTGGTCTTTATACTCCGTTATTAGTAAATTTTATAAAAATCTAACTATTGCAGCCGTCTTCGTGGCGCAACTTTTAAAAAATTTAACCATTTTCTGACTCAGTTTGTCGAGCTCAGTCAGAAAATGTAGTTCGTTCAAAAATTTATATATCGACATTCTAATTAGTAAATTGTCTAACTCCATTTTAGAGAATCTTCTGTTTGTACGAAAAAAACAATTAGTTCAAAATTCATTATCATTTTAAAAAACCATTTAATATCATTATTATCTATTAGAGATATAATATTTAGATTTGAATCATTCAAATAATTTATAATTCGATTATGGCTACATCAAAATGTTAAAAAAATCACCCTCTAAAAAATATGGAGTTAGACAAATTACTAATTAGACCGTCGATATGTATATATATTTATACGATATAACGGGGCTTGTCAGCACAATAGCGTTCTCAATTTATAACCGATTCTTCTCAAACTCATCATGCTTTATCTATCGATCAAAACCAAGGTTAAGTTCGAAGATGAGCTTAATCGTGATTTAAAAATTCAATAATTACGACATTGATCAATCTTTCGTGTAATGTTTTCGGGTATTGGTTGTCAGTAAATAAGTCACAAATTAATTCTAAATATTATTTTCTTCAATTAAAATTTTATCCGGTCAATCAAAATTCTGATTAACTTGGAAACTGTTGTTCCTGAGCAGTTACTTAAAATTTGGACATTTATGATTCAAATCTTATAATCTTTGCAATTGTTTGATAAATATTTGAAAAACTTTTTCTTCACAAGATACTTTTTTTTTCCAAAATTTATTCTAAATAGTTTTAAATTTTGTTTTTAATTCATGAATTAAGTTATACATTATTAGTATTTATATTATTTTATTAAAAATCAATTTTCTTTATTTGAAAAATCTACCCCCATTTCGGCTGCCGGATGGCCTTTTTTTATTATTAATTTATTAAATTTTAATATGCAATGATAAGTTTATTATACATATCATTTTTCGTAATTTATATACACATTAATAATTATTTTGTTATTAGACAATAGAACATATCATTTCCAAGCAGAAGATGAAGCTGATCAACGTGCATGGATGTCAGTACTTGTTAACTGTAAAGAGCGAGCATTGCTGAAAGCATTTGATGCTAGTGGTAAAGCTGAAGCTGGTCAGGGTAATCCGAGTCTTGTTGAACTTCAGCAAGCTATTATAAGATGTGTATTGCGATTAGATGGAAATGATAAATGTTGTGACTGTTCATCACAAAATGGTAATTTATTTTAATAGACAATTTTTTTAGTTTAAATTAAATATAATTATTTGTATAACGTTAATAAAACCGAATATGCAATGATAAGTAATGTTATTAAACTATTTAAATGTCTAGATGCAACGTGGTTGTCAACAAACTTTGGTATAATAGTATGCATCGAATGCAGTGGTATTCATCGGGATCTCGGTGTACATATATCAAGGATACAATCGTTAACTTTAGACAATGTTGGTACGTCACAATTGTTACTAGCACGTTTTATGACTAACCAAGCATTCAATGAAGTTATGGAAGCAACTTTAAATCATCATCATAAACCAACTCCAACGTCCACAATGTTAGTAATAGTACAAGTAGTTTTAGTACAAGTACTTTACATTAACTTATTTTTCTAGTTTTATTCAATAGGTATAATATTATGACTTTATATTATGACATGTATTTGTGTATATGTGATTGTATTTTATGTATAGGGAAGAGAGATACGAATTTATAAGGGCTAAATATGTCGATAAAAAATATGTATTGAGAACTTGTGAAGATGAACGAGATCTATTGTCTGATCTCGAGCATGCTGTTAACAATAAAGATCTTCAGCATTTACTCCAAGTTTATGGTGAAAAGGTTGACCTGGCAGCTCCGTTACCTACTTCAGTAAGTAATTGGAATTATTTATTTTTAGACATTTTTTGTTATTTCAAGTATTGATGTGTAATTTGAAAATGTTTCAGGATGTTGGAGAAACGGCGTTGCATTTGGCAATTTTACGAGAAATAGGGGGTAATTGCCTCCATATAGTTGATTTTTTAATACAAAATATGCCGGTGGGTAATATAGACAAAATTACAAGTGAGGGTGAAACGGCACTACATCTTTCTGCAAGGCACGATCGAGCGGAAGCTATGAAATTGCTGTTGCGCGCTGGCGCAGATCCAACGCTACGTAACAAACAAGAAAAGACTCCGTTGGATATTGCCCAGGAAATGGGTCATCCAACTTGCAAAGAATTGGTAATTCATTAAAAATAAATTTTGAACTAAAAAAAAAGAAAAGAATCGCTTTTTTTGTTCAACTTCTTTTCCAATAATTGATATTGATTTTCTATAGAACACCAAAGTTTATGAATATATATGTATAATTGATTTTTTTTTTTTTTTTTTTTCTTCATTATTTTAGCTAAGCAATGCATTGCAACGACAAAAAACATTGTTTGATAATGTTAATATCGATTGGAATTTATCACACGATGAAGGCTCGACTGATTTTTCTGATGATGAAACAATAATTGAAGACCGAGTATGTTTTATTTCTAATTTTTTTTTTTTACTTTAAGTTTTGCTTGTTTGTAAAATAAAATTGATAAATTTTAATATTTAGAATGGATGTTTAACGCCTGAAAAGAAATCACGAAGCAGACCACCTTCTTATGCCGGTGGAGGTGGATCTGGTCCAGGAGATTCTCCGATTACCCTTCGAAGTCGAAGTAGCACCTGTGACAGTCTTCAAAGTGGTTCCTCGCCAAATTCTATTACAAGTAGACAGCAAATGCCACCACCACCGCCTCCACAATCTAGAAAACCAGTCGTCAGTCAGTAAATTTGCTATTCTCCGGTTTTTAATTATTTTTCAAATTCATCCTGTTTATCAAAAATATTTTTAACTTCCCGCTAAAAAAATCCAAGATTTTCAAAAATCGGGAACCGTTTTCCTAATTTGTTTTATTATCAACAGTTCCCAGTCCAATGGGACCACCAGAGTACAGTCTAAATATTCATGGGTCACTAAAAAAACGTGTAGCACCACCTCCACCACCTGGAAACGGCGGGACAATGCTGACAGCTCATTATGGGACTTTACCATCATCAGCAAGTTTAGCGAGCTCTTCACACAGTAGAACAACCAGTGAGCCCATTCTTGCGGGCAACGCATTGCACAGTCTACCACATTCACTAAACACACTGAATAGTCTACATCACAAAAGATCACCCAGCAGTGACTCATCAGTTAGCCACAGTATGTACTTTAGTTTTACATCTTCTTCTCCTCTCATATACTATTTATTACGTTCATTTTTTTTTTCCTCCAATCTTGCACATTTTTCATGATCAATCTTACAGTTTTTTATTTTCTCTACACAGGCATGGATAAATCAAATACGTCGACGTTACAAAGGCCAAGGAATCCACCACCACCTGCACCTTCTGCCGGTAGCTCTGCAAGATTAAGTAATGGTCGTAGCAGTGAATCCCTTAGTTCAATGTGTTCTGAGCATGGAATAGGTAATCCTATACCTCCACCCCGGAAGGTAAGCTTTAGTTAGTTTTTTTTTTTTGTTTTTTAATTTTTTTTTCTCCATCATTTTTTTGATACGAAAGTTGATTAAGGTGGCTGGAATAAATTTAATAATGGAAACTTTTATTTATGTTCTTATCTGCAGGAAATTAAGTAAATTTATTGACTAACAAATGTCACGTAGTTTTTCTATTGCGTTTATTTATTTATTATTTATCAATAACGATAATAATAATTATTAACACCAATTTACTATGCTTGAGCACTTTTAACATTTCATACTAATAAAATAAATCATTTTTATTAAATACATCACTCATTAATTTAAAAATTAGTCAGCTTTTTTTATCAATTAAAATCAATCATAATTATTTAATTTCGAGTTTTGTCATTATTTTTAAATTTATTGTAAATGTAGAAATTCTAATTCCATCGAATATTTTCATTTCATGAATCATGTAACCCAAAATTAATACATGTAAAAAAATAAATGATTTGAAAGATTTAGAACAGAAAACGCGGATTAAAAATTAGATAAAAAATTACGGGATTAATTTTTATTGCAACTATAACATTTTTTATAATTCTAAATATTTATTAGTCCAAATTATTTGCAATAAAATACAGTTAATAAACCTAACTACGCTGTTCTCGCAGTTGTTTGTTAATAACATACAATAATGCATCTTGAAGATTAGATTTCGTGTATCAGTTTACTAAACGTGTAAGTCATTATCGACAAACGGTTTCAAAGCATTAGATTTTTATACACACCATCTGTTATATATTACGCTGATTAATAATAACGCCCACCGAAGATATCTTTAGATAATTGCAGGGCACGGAAGTGGGATAAAACCTCCGATGCCAAATTATTGTGATGTTTATAAAGACAGCATGTTTTTTTTTGGTGATATCCAAACGTATATTATATAGTGGGTTTATGGTTTGTTATTAACCATTGTTGGTACAGCGAAGGGACCGATCCAGACTTGAAAGCTACGCCGAGGAGCCCTCATCTTTGCTCCCCAATTTGAATCTGGTAAACATTTTGCACGGCACCCTATCCGCATGGCCATTTGTGCATTGCATCTATGTGTGGTCACTCATTCATTTTCATTCAGTAGTCTTTTCATATTTTATTTTATTTTATTTCAGTTTTTTCATATATTCTAATAAAATATTAATACATCATAATCATGATTATACTTCACATCATTCAAAAAATATTTAATGAGTAAATAATTGAGTTTTTAAATTTTTTAAAAGAATTAAAAAATAAAAATTAGAAATTGATTTTAATTTTAATTTTGGCTTGAAAAAAAATTCATTATTTCAGTTCTTCAAAATTCGAATTTTTTTATTTATAAAAAAAAAATTTTTTTTGGTAAATTTAAAAATTAAAAAATTGTTTTTTACATTTTTATTTTTTTATTTGATTTTCCAAAGAATTGAAATAACGATTATTTTTTTAAATCATATATCAGTGGATTTATGAAATTTTATAATTAAAAAAAAAAAAAAAAAAACAATTGATTTGCTGAAAGATTTTAAAAATAATTAAGCATGAGTTTGTTGTTGAAGAACAGAGCAGGGTTGGATATAATTTTCACAAATTAAATGTCTTATCTGTAGATGAAAATTTTGATTAAAAAAAAATTTTCAAATAAGTTAACTGATAACTAGAATTAATCTCTGAATATTGTTTGATTTTTGAAATAGCCAATGACATCAAGTTTAAATGGATTGCGACGATGTCGAGCGCTCTATGATTGTGATGCTGATAACGAAGACGAACTTTCATTCCGAGAGGGTGAAGTGATAATAGTCACCAATGAGCAAACTGACGATGACAATTGGATGGAAGGTGCGCTGGAGCGGGCACCCGAACGACGTGGAATGTTCCCTATAAGTTTTGTTCATATGCTTCAAGACTAACATTCAGTTAGTTTAAATTCGTTAGTGGGTATTGCTAACTCAACGAATAATACCAGCATTGTAAGCTTTAAGCAACAGCAACATAATTGGTCAGACAATGAAGATAATTAAAACTACACACTAGATATTGTTAAATGCTTGTAAATTCAAAATTTTTTTTCTTTTTTAATTATTCGTAATGATTTTATACTTTTATCAATTTTTTTTTCTTTACCGCAATTTCGCGTTATTATCCATGTGATATACTTGAATATATCATATATATTTATGATTTTTATCATTTAATTTTTAATCAATGATCGAAAAATATCTATATATCAAATCTGTTAAATTATCTTCATTTTCTTGACAAATTAGATGAGAAAATGAAAAATGACTTTAATAAATATTTTTGAAAAAAAAAAAATGATTAAAAATCTGAAAAAAAGTTATTAAGGGAAAATAACTAAATTTGATGTTGGCTTTCAAATAAATCTAAAAATAAGATATATAATTAATATTGCTCGTTAAATGAACATAAAATAATTTAAAAATTAAATAAATCTATAGAGTCATTGCATAAGACAAATTAAAAGTATTATTAGAAAAAAAAAAAAAAGAAAATTCGATTAATTTTTATTAATCAACTGGTATGGGTTTCGTGATAATTAATCTGTAGATATATCGATTGTGTATATATATTTACTCATTAAATGAGCGTTATTAACACGATAAACTATGATTATTTTTAATATTTTTCTTTTATTCAAGACAAAAAGAAAAATGACTAAAATATGCAATTAAATGTTAGATTATTTATTAATTAGTAATATTAGCTGTTTAAACAGCAATCACATGTCATTTTTAAAATAAATGTCATTATTATAGTTATAATATTATAGAATAATGATAATATTTTTAATATTTTAATTAAGTATTTGCAAAACAATTTTATTTTATTTTAAATCGAAATCGCCTGAGTATTTAATACAGCATCGACGTTTATTATTATGTTGTCAACAAAAAAGTTAATTTATTTAATAATTGTATTGTGAACATTTAAATTTATTATATTGTCTCAATAATAATGTATTTAATTGAATGAACTCATAGTTTATTTGAACTAATAACAGTAAACTGAATTGAATAAATCAAACGGCATAATTTGTATACTCTATATTTATTATATTCTGTATTAATGATTAACATAGGTCAATCACCGTTAAAATTATGCACAGTATAAATCTTTTGAAAAATAATAAATTTAAAAAAAAATACATAGATAAATGAATTATTATAAAATTGAAATAAAATAAAAATTGTTTAGGAAAATATTTATATAATTGTGTTGATTATTTACCTTATATTTTGATACATATATAATTAAGAGTGTTAGATTAAAATAAAAAAGAATTTTAATTTTTGAAAATAGAAATTTATGGTTTGAGAACAATTATTGACATAAATAAATAAACAAGTAATTATATTTTGAATTGCGTATGAAAAATTTATTTATTGAAAAGTGGTTTTTATTTTCACACTACACACTAGTGTACTTTCGTCTATTAATTATTATTTTTATTATTATTGTTAATAGTATTGTTATAATTATAATTATTAATATTATTATTAAACCTCATAACAGTACAAAAATTGCGTTTTTACAAGTTATCTGGCTTACATTATTAACATAATAAATCCCAGTTAGCAAATTTTTTTATCAGAGGAGCCCGCTTTCCGAATAAAAAGTTTTGCAGAATATAATTTCGGGCTTACGATATAAAATTAAATCTATGTTTGTTAAAAAGAGATCCATTGTCCATCTAGGATTATTTATTTTATAAATTAAAAAATCAATACAATAAATTTGCTATCTGGGTTTCAAAGACACCTTTCAGCCAAACTCTCGTAGTAATTAATAATTATAATAAAATATTTTTTTTTTCATTTTACGATGAGTAAACAAACAAATTATCCACACTCATACACACACACACACACACGCAAGCACTTTAAAAATGATGCACGAGTGTTTGGCTAGGCTAATTTATTATTATTTAAAATTTCTTGGTGTCTCATTTTATGATTTAAAAATAAACATACACATATTATTAGAAAAAAATTCTAGTAAGACTGTATTTTTTTTTTTTATACTTAGTTTAACAATCAACCGATGCCTCAAAAAAATTTATCTAAAGCAACATTGCCACAAAATCTGACTTTAAATTATTTAATAATATTTTTTTCAATCAACTTTTTTACATCAACTTCTTAGAAATTTTTGTTTTTAAATTCATTTCTCAGCCTTTTACCTAAGTACACACAACCCTATTCGCCAGTCTTAAACACGAGAAATCGTGATACATTTTTTTATTTAATTTTTAAATAATATTATACATATTGATATAAAATAAATACAGACTCCTCTAATGTAATATTAATTTAAGAATAATGTTTTTTTTTTTTAAATGTAATAGGATTATTAAATTACGAGCTAAGAGCAAGCTCAAAGTCGCACCGGGATCTCGAATACGTTTGTGGTGGTTTTCGTGATGTGTGATTAATATTAATTATTATGATTATTATATATAATATATATTATTAATCATTATCAATTAAATATAATATAATAAAATTATTGATCAATTAATTAATGACAATGATTTAATAGCAATAAGATTACGGTGGTAGTGATGAACAAAAAAATTAATAACAGATTATTACAATACATGATTTCATTATGATATTTAAATCAAATAAAATTTCTTTTTATTTTTCAACATTGACCTTCGACATTCATACTCTTATAAATTTGATACACCGTATGTTTTCTGAAGTAATTACGTTGTTAATAAATTGACGAATAAAAACTTGACTTGCACTTTATTTTTTTTTTATGTTAGTTTAGGTCCTGCCTTTATAGATTAGATAATGTGATTTATTCACTGATAAAATATTATTACACTGAAAAGAAATTCCTGGACTCCTTCATTAAGCACAGGAACAGTCTTTTTATTTTTATTGGCTCATTACAACTACAATCCATTTTATTTATTACTTTATTTTTATTTAACTGATTAATTACTTCGTTTTTGTTCGTTCAGTACGTGAAGCCTATCCTGTTTAATTTCATATTTTTCGACGAAATAATTTCCAACACATACATATGTAAATAATTTTTTCGTCTGCACAGAATATAATCATTTATTGTTGCATTATTGATTTTAACGTATATAATTAATCAATAATCTGTATGTAATTTAAATGATAAAAAAAAAAAAAAAAAAACAATAGTTAAAATGAAAAAAATATGTTGACTAGCTTTTGATCATCAAATTGACAAGTTCACAAGTACTGTTAAAATAAACCATGGATACAAATAAAAAAAATTAATGTACACAGAGAATAAAACATTCTTTCTTTCATCGCTAAAAAACTTTATTTAAAATAAAACTAATTCACTGGGAAATTTTTCTATTTTTAAATTGACGCAAAGTTTTCATTATAAAAACTCGAATTCTCTGGTCAATAATTAAGGAGCTAAAAGCATTCAATGTTTTATTTTTATTTATTTTTAGCCCTAAAAAATATAGTAGCTCCTATGAAATATTAAAATATAATTTTCAATTATAGTTAACTTTATTACATTATTATAATAATAAAAAAATGCATTTTTATGAGAAATCTTTTTTTTTATCGTTTGTTTTTTTTTTTTGTTTTTTTTTTGTTTTTTTTTTCATTACATTGAGTCCTCTGCATTTTACTATTAACTATTTTTAGTTTTGTTACTTTATGAAAATTTTTTCCTTTTATTGTTTGCGTTTATAATCTTGGGTATCAGTGATTGCTTGGTGTAACTCTATCGAGCCAGCTCATTATTATCAATAAACATGACAATTATTGGGATATACTCAATTAAATAAGTCATCACTTATTATCGATCATGGTTAATTAATATTACACTACTAATTGTATTAATATTATCAGCATTATTATTATCAATTATATTTATTACTCTAAAAAAATTACTAATAGTACTCCTTATTATTATGTTTTTTATTTTTTTTTATTTTCTCCTTTTTTTTTATTTATTTTTTTTTCTTTTTCATTTTTTTTTTTTTTATTATTAATACCTTTCTCTAATCAATTATTATTTTGACAGGTTTTTTTCCCTTCCGCAGTCTTCCAATTGTTACATTCACGCGCCAACAATAGCATAATATGGTCGAAGTTACATTATACATTAGAATATTAGTTATGACAACTACAATTAATTATATACTTTTTAAAAAATTAATTAATTATCCACGAGACAATAATAGGAGATCATAGTTTATATTTCTCTAATTATCATAAAATATTTCAATCGATACGTTGAAAAATTTTTTCTATAATTTAAAAATGCCGCCCCCATTTTTTGTTAAATAAAATTACATACAAATATAAAATATCACGATTAGACACTAATAATTGGTAATCGAAGAGCATGCAAATTAAAAATATAAATAGGTGCCCACCTTAGTTAAATTTACAATTGTTTAACAATTGTAACAATGTCAACTGTACAGCTCATTCTCGAGGCACTTTTGTCTGACGACATTTTAATGTGCTATAATATCATCGAGCGGTAGGCACTTAACCCGAACACATCCGAATCCGACTCGTGTAACATATCAAAAGTTGGATTCGAATTCTGTCGGGCCTGGTTACTGTAATTTTTTCTCAGCATTCAGTTCAAACACAGATCTTCATTTCGACTATATAAATTATTGGAATTTTATTATTGACTACCCATAAACGCAGTTATTTTTATGTAAAAGTGACTATAAATTAATCTTGAAAATATGATTAAGAATTCAATAATAATAAAAATAGCAGAGATTAGTTAATGCGTTTACTTACATAGTTTTTTTTTTTATATTTTTTATAATTATTAATTACATATTATTTTTCACAGCTAATGAGGCGCGCGAAATTGTCAGTCTTTCATTTTTTTTTTTTTTTTAATTTAATTTTATTTATTCAACTTTTAGTTTGCTTCTTTATTTATTTAATTAACATTACTCAGTAGATTTATTTTTGTTGCACAAAAAATATCGTTAAGGTATATCGCAAAACTAATTCAAGTGCTAACGCTTAGTACATTAAGTGTTCTTTTAATTAATTTATAGTAATTTAAAGCCACAGATTTCGATGTTACAAGCAATATTATGTGATCATACTCTATATAACTATTTTTATACTATATAATTTGTTCTAACTTTTTTTTTTTTACTTTTATAGTTAAAAATGGTAGTTAGTTAATTAAAATAATTAGTACATTTATTGCGGCTGGCACTTATATTACTTTTCAATATACCTTTGCTGATTACACTTCAATATATATTGGCAAAGCCAAATTATTTTTTTTTTCTGAATATCAATGAATAAAATTAATATTAATTATTGAATTAATAGTACTAATGAGAATAATAATTAAAATGTACTAATAAAAATATGAAATTACATAAATAAAACGGTCTTTAGTCTTACTATACTGCCCCCGGGGTGTTAAAATAATGTTTTATTTGAATTTATCAATTATATTCTTTGAATATTACTAATTATCAGATAACTGTATGCATAATCTATTCTACTATCATACTCAGAAACAATCAATGCTTTTATTAAGTGTTGCTTGTAAAATAACACAAATAAAAAATAAATATTGACGCTATTTAGTTATATCATGCAACGAACAATTATTATATAATATAAATAAATTATGAAAATTTTTACTTCAATTCAATTTAAAGAATAATTGTAAAATAATTTGATTCGATTATAATTTAATATTTAAAAAAAAAAAAAGAAAAAAAAACAATTGCTATTAGTCCTATCTGACAGAACTGTTAAAAGAAATATTTACTATTTATATATCAGTCAATAAAAGAAAAAAAATTTACAATGCAAATAAGCACATAATGCTTGATTGGTGTTCTAAAATCAGAAGAATTCCATTTCCTGAAATGGATAACACAAAATATTGCAAATAACGCGCAATTTGTTTACTTTATTACATTAATTATTAGCATTATTATTTTTTTCGTTAAATAAGTAAACAGTCGCGTATTACATTATTTCTTTTTTCTTCTTTTTTACTACGAATTTGTTTCAAATTCTATCGCAGTATATAATCTAATTTTTTTTTTTAATTTATTAATATAGAAGTAAAAATCGGAGGAAAGAATCAATCTTCCTAGTAGCATTTGGCTTGCCAAATTCTATAAGTTTTTTTTTTCCATTTAAATATAAATAATACAATTGCAGTGACTGTTAAAATATGATTTACAAATTCATAAGAGAAAAATTAATTAATTAATTACTGCTTGTCAGTACGTATGAATATTTTTTTCGTCGTTTTTCTTCTCTCATTCATTAAAATTATCAATAATTATCTAAGATATCCAAAAAGTACGTTCAGCGAGGGCACTTGGCCCGTGTCAATTAAAACTATTATTATATTATATATAATTTCATCTACACGCAGTAGAATAGCGAGAGGTCTTATAAAAAAAAAGTAGTTGATAAAGATAATTTAAACCTCACCAAAACCGCCGATAGCTTGCTCAGTCATACGTAGACAAAGTGATTCAAGTCTTGAATTTATTTCTGGCTCGGTCGTTTCTAATGGTGTGTTATTTTGACTGTGAAAGTGATCGCGCGGTGCACTGAATGTACGCTGTAGAGTTTTTTGTAATTGCTGCATACATAAAATAAAAAAATTAATATGCAATGAATTAAAAAAAAAAAATGTATAATTATTAATCCAAATAATAATTACCTCTAAACTATTTTCTTGTAAACTCGGTCTTTTTTCAGCAACATGAGTTGTTCGTAAAATGTTAGAATTAATTCCATGATTATGGTTATTTTGTAAGTACGGTGTTGAAATGCTATTTCTGTGTGAAGTCATAAATTTATTATTCTGCAAATGATTATCATGAGCAGGACCTCTGTAGATACTGGGTTTTTTAGTGTGAGGATTTATATAAAATCGTCTATTGCTGTAATTTCCATAAACCCACCTGTTGATAATAAACAATTATTATTAATATAATATTTTTAATTTAAATGATATACACAATGAAAAATTTTAATTACTTTGGTGTAGGTCGTGGATTTCCTAATCTACTACGCCACTGCTGTACCTTCTCTTTCTGATTTGGAGTGAAACAATCATGCTGAAGAACTTTTTCTAGAATATTAATGCAACCGACAAGAATGTGTTCATCGATCATGTCCAACACCAATCTGCTACATACTGAAATAATAAAATGAATAAATAAAATACATAAATAAAAATGATTATATACTACATAGTAGGGTGGCGCAAAAAAACCGACTATTTTTTTTTTTTTCGAGTCTCGAGTGAAAAAATGTTAGTTTTTGATGTTTTAAGAGCTCTCTCCAAAGAACAGCTTAAAAAAAAATTTTTAAGAGGTCGCTCCAATTTTTTTTAAATTTCTGAGTCAAAAAATGCTAATCCAATTAAATAGTCACTAATAAATTAAAAAAAAATTATGAACGACCTTTTAAAATTCATATTTTGAACTGAAACTTTCAAGAAAACCTTTTTTTTTTTGGTCTATAAAATTATGACGTAACGAGAAAAAAAATTCGATTTTTGAAATTTAAAAAAATTTTTTTTTAAGCTGTCCTTTGGATAGAGCTCTTAAAACATCAAAAACTAACATTTTTTCACTCGAGACTAAAAAAAAAAAAAAAAAAAAAAACTAAAAATAAAAAAATAAAAAATAGTACGGAGACATATTTCTGGTTGAAAAAAAAAAAAAAAAAATAAAAATAAAAAAAAAAAAAAATAGTCGGTTTTTTTGCGCTACCTTACTACATAATAACAATTAATATCAAAGTAATAAACATACATTTGCCGATAACTTTAGTAAATTGTGCAGGAATATCCTGTGGATCATCTTCCTGACTGGGCTTCAACGGTGTCATAAGAATAGTATTAAGTTCATCAAGAGTAGAAATGAGCAAAAGAGTTGGTCCATCACCAAAAGGGTCAAGGGTATCAATTGGTGTCAATAATTCTTTTTCTAAATTAACAAGAGTCGAGTAACGCTGTTGCAATTTGCTAATTGACAATGCTAATTTATGACGTGCACCTTTGGTAACACCTTGCTCAGCCAATTGATCTTCTGTCAGTTGTAACATCTCCTCATAACTCATTGTTGTGAAAAGATAGCTGTATTTGTGTAAGCGGAGTGTTTTCAACCATCTTGGTACATCTCGCATGCCACTACTCAGTGGACGACTTGAGGCTTCGTCCAAGCGTCCTTCACTGCCACTGCTGGTGCACGAACTTTGAGGACTTAGAGGCCCTAATCCAATAAGACTGCTGGAGTTATCACCAGAAACACTGAAGCTTCGTGGTTTGTGTCTGGTGCTGTTATTAGTATTATTAGCGCGTTCAGCGACTTCTAAATGATGAGGCGGTGCAACTGGTGGTGTTAAGCTGTTAGATCGTCGTTGTCGGGTAATTTGAGGTGGAAATTGTACATTAAATGTATTACCCGATTGTCCACCGCCGTTGCCAGTAAACAAATTCAAAGCTTTAGCAGGCTGTTGATGTTGTTTAGAATTTTTGTTCCACGTAATGTCCCATCTGTTTGGTGCATTGGTGTACTCTTCTAAGCTATGAATTGGCGGAGTACCTGTTATTCTTTCCTCTAAATGTCTTAACCATTGACTTAATGATCTGCGATCTGGACTTGTGATTGCTGGATGTATTAATGTATAACTCAAGAGCTGTTGAGTTTGTTCAGTAAATTGTCCAGTGCTTACACAATGGCTAACTAATTCAGGTATCGCCGAAAGATAACTCTGCTTACATTCAACATTACCAGGTCGTAACAGTGGCAGATGAGCAAGTATTTGATTTATCGCAACTTCAGTACACTCTGACATCAGCGAGTTGATAAAAGCTGTATGTTGATAAATGAAATAAAATAAAAATATTTTCATTATAAAATCAAGAGGGTACAAGAGCTAAGTGTAAATAGAATTAAAATTAAGTATTAACCTGGATTGTTGGCATTAAGCTCTTGCGTATCGAGTTCAGATCGTGCAATAAGAGAATGCTGTAATGCTTGTGCCAAAAACCGTGCTTGCACTGCTGGTATTCGACGTAAAAGAGCATACAGTACTACTGTTTGCTCACACTCATTCCACTGTGAAAATACACGAGTAAGTTCGCCAACTTGCTCGCAAAATAATGCACCTGGTGCCCACTTCATATTTAACTGTTTATCCGTACTCAAGTACGGTATATTTGTTACTTCTGACGTCCTGACGTCCTTGGATTAGGTTTTATAAATGCCCGTCGTTTCCTAATCACACACAGAAAAAAATATTTTCATTTAATTTAATCAATCAATTTTACTTTGTTACACCAATGATATACTATAGTAAATAAAATATATAATTATTCTATAAAATAATATTAATATATGTATATATGCGTTAAGAGTATTTATAAAATGGTATAAACACGAAGGATAAAACGAAAGACTAGAGAAAAATAAAATATTATAATAAAAGACTAAGGCAAAAACGGAGCACCACCCAACGCACAACAGGTCATTCCCCTCGCTGGCACGAACCTTTCTCAACCATCATTGTCGACCAATCTGTTATGTTGAAAATAATATTGACTTGGCTCTCTTTCTTCTATACCAACTGCGTATACTGGTATATGTATACTATATATACTATCAACACATACTATACCAAATATATATATATATATATAGCAGTAGCAGCAGAAGCGATGATATAGCCACGATAATATTATAAATTTTCATTCTTATTACACCTCAGTACTTCACGATTAATTTACATATTTATTTTTATTTTTATTATTATTATTATTATTATTGTAATAGTAATAATGATAATAATAATAATAATAATAATAACATTGTTTTATTTTGACAAAAGGTATTTCAAAGATTCACATAACCTCAACAAATATATCATCGATAAGAATTCCGAAGAGGTCAAGTTTGTTTACCCCACGATGAGTGTATATTTATAGCAACTCACTCGGCTACCATATAATCCATTCCGGCGTTGCATTGTATTTAAACAAAAACTGTATGGCATACAATAACAATAACCTTTTAAAATAAACTAAATGAAAATGATATTCAATAAGATGACGAAAAAATTAAAAATAATAATAACTTACGCACTCTCTTTTCACCCCGCCGACAATATGTCATTGAGCGAATAATGTATTTAATAGTGTGTTAGAAAAAAAAATTCCAAATTAATAATAACTGCAATAATTATGACAATTGACGATTTTTTATTATTATATTTTATGTTGCGGTAGTAGCAGTAGGCGTCAGTTGAATCTTAATAATACGATGATATGATGACGACGACTCAACAACGACTAACAACCCGTCTGCTGTATGTTAAAGCCGCGACACTAACACACCACAATAATATAAAAACGACACGCACACAACGAGTCTCAAATTTCCAAAAGGAATCCTTCTTTTTATATATACATGTATGTTATCGGTGTCTTGCTTTTACACTAATGCAACCGCCTAGTGTATCTTTGTCTTCACTCGCATCGTAAGCGTCGGCTGGTTTTAAGCCTAGACAAGGGGGGTGAGGATTAAAGGGGATGGGCGTCTCGCCACCATCTTCAATGTTTGGGTCTCGATTATCGTGACTTATATATATATATATACATTCATGCCTATATACATACATATAACATGGACGTTGTTATTTTTTTTACTTTTAAGGTCTTGAAATTTATTTTTTACTGTAAAATGCAAATAAAAAAAAATATATTAATAAAAATTAAATAAAAAATAATAAATTAATTAATTAAGTGTGTATACTTAGTAAATAAATAATAAAAATAAAAGTCGAATAATTTCGGCCATTAACCGCAAACACTTTGAGCACCGTTTTCATATGTTTAATATTATTCTTATCATAATCGATGTTGTTTTATTGAGATTAATTAAATAAATAATGTACAATTATTAATTACCGTATTAATATGTCAGTATTGGGTCGGCAATGAAGTTAACACTAACACGTTCAACACACAACACTCATTTATTCACCGTTAGAGCATTTTAGCGTTAACTTTTTTTCTCCTGTCGAGTAAATATAAACGTGTATTTATATATAGTATATATTATATATATATATATGGTGAAGTTTCGTATAGTTATATGGTTATATGTAGTGTGTATGTTATGTATGCCGTTCTCCACCATGCGGTTTGGTGGGCCTACGTGACCACACTGTCTATAGCTTCCTGCTCCGTTCCTGCTCTACCTCAGTAGTGTTATTTTATTGGTTGATGCTGACTCCGATTGACCAATTGAAATAGATAATATATCTTGTTATTGTTGCGCAGCTTCTTTTGCTCGACTTATAACATTTATTCAACTGGTCCCGCGGTTTTTTTTTTTAATTATCATTGCACTGATACATATTTTGTTTTGCTGTAACTGTTATTATCAGTATTTACATTTATAAGTTTTATTTATTCAATTTATCAAGCAATAATATAAATTAGAAACTTACCCAATGGAAAAAATTCAACCGAAGAATATATTAAACACTCTGTATATTGGAGCATTTTTTGTTTGTCAATACTTGAGATTTTGATATTAAAATGCTAAATGTAATGATATTGAAATCATGAAAATGAAGTTAGCCGATATTTCAAAATTTTTAGAAATTTTTTATTGAAAAAATTTCAATTAAACAATTAAAAAAAAATTTTCACATGTAAAAAACTTGAAAAACTATAAGTGCAATTTTTTAGAAATATATTTTTAGTTGTAATTTAATTATTTAGTTTAGAAGAAAATTATTTAATTTTTTTTATCACTTGACTTTATTAGAATAAAAAAAATTGTAACACTGAAGTGGACAGATATTAGATATTAAAAATTTTTTTAGAATTTTATAGCAATGAAATTGTTATGAAAAATAATTAATAAAAAAATTTTTAAAAGCATTTCTATTTTTTCTATTATTTATTTATTAATTGATTTACTAAAAGCATTTATTGTAGTTTTTTTTATAAGAATTTTAAAAATTGACAGTTGTCAGCTATTAGCTTCAATATCATAATAAAATAGTTTATAAAAATTGCACTTAAAATTTTTCAAACTTTTGGAATTTTTCTTTTAATTTTTTTACAATAAGAAAACTCTTACAAATTGTCAAATATCTGTTCATTTCAGTATTATGTAAATGTTTTAGCCACCAGGAAGCATAAAATTGTATCTATTCCTTTTTATTTTTACAAGTACTTGTTGTAGGTGTCATTTGATATCTACGAACGTTCCAAAACTCCAGTATATTATGTATGACATTAAAGTTAGCAGTCATTAGAGAATTAAAAAATTTTTTTTAACAAACAAATTTGTTCCAAAAAATAATTAAAAAAAAATTACATTGCTCGAATGAACTTATTCATACACGTTTTTTTTTTTTAATTTTTTATTTTTAAAAGTTTCATGCTAAATTTAATTATTGATAATTGGAGTATTAATTGAAATGCCTTATTAGTAAGAGTATAATTTAATAAAATAATTCAGTTACGAATTGAGTAATTAACATGCGATTATGTTTTTAAGTAAATTATTAATTATTTTTTTCTATAATAACAAAATAATTGTCGCATTTGAGAATTAAAAATAAATTTGTTCAAAACAAAAATAAATTATTTAACAAAAAAACTAAATGATAATCTCTTGTATTTTAAATCATATAACAATAAAAAATAAAAATGATTTTTTCTATAATTTTATTAAAAATAAACCATAATAAAAAAATGTAAAGCTGTAAGCTTCAATAAAATAGATTAATGAAAGATTTTAAGTGATAAATTTCGTTGTATTTCAGACATTAATTATAAAAAATTATTTGTTTTTAATAAATAAGAAATAACACTGAAAAAATATTAATTGTGCGGCCTTCACCTACATATATTTATTCTGAAATTCATGAGACATAATGAAGATGTCAGTTCGAGGTTTGAAATTACTTTACAACCGCAGTGTCCTCAAGGACTCTGCTTATTTATGAATCTAAATTTACAATATCCATATCTTTATTACAGTATTTTTAATAAAAAGTATGAACTTTTTATTTTCTACGACTGTTATTTGAACTTATTATTCTGTCGCAAATATTTAAATATTTAATATTTATTCGTTATAGTATTGATTTATCTGTAACCTAATACCTCATTGTTTTTCATAATGATTGAACGAACACGGAACACCATCGGTTAATATCTAAATATATTAATAGTCGAGTATAAATATTTATGAAATAATTTCATTTCTTTAACTAATTATATTAATTTGATAAAAAAAAAATTTTATAATTATTAAATATTTTCCCCCATTCCGTCGCTTTCTGTAACAAGAGCTCTTTCTAAAATGACACGTCCTTCTTTGTAACGTTGATTGTCATCAGTAGCGAACTCGTAAACCCAGCCGAGTTTAGCATCACAATTTTTACAGCTTACATCTCTGACCATGTGTCTCCCTGTTAGCATTACACGATCTTGAACTTCACTTTATGGAAACAAAGAAAAAAAATTTATTAATTACTTATCACACGTCTTTTTATTTTTGACAACTTCTATAAATCGATGGATTATTTTATAGGTCGAAAATATTTAATTAAAAATAAACGTACCTGTAATTTAAATTAACAACTTTGTTGAAAAGAAAAGCACGTCCAGTAGCTCCTGTAAATCGTGTGCTGATCAGCTGACCTCTGTTTGTTAAATTAGTATCACATGATGCACAAGAAAATAAACGAGCTCCTCCAATATGCTCCAAAAAAATAACACCCATGTTTTTTTTTTTAATTACTTAATTTTTTAGAAATAAATAAATGGCACGTTAGAGATTGTTTGACAATTTTTTTTATTTAAATCAAATGACACAGGCAAGAATAATAATAATGGAAGATGAATGTCGTCTATATGTGTAGCAATAACCCAATGTTTTGTTATGACTGACTTTGACGTTGTCTTTAAAGATGGCGGAATGTCATTATTTATGGCGGTAAAATTCAAATAATAATTTAAAAAATTTTAATAGTATTACAATTGAAAAAATAATGACACTAAAGTTAGCAGACGTCTAAAAATTTTTTAATTTTTTTTTATTAATTCAATTACAACTAAAAAGATATTTATAAAAAAATTGCACTTATAGTTTTTCAAGTTTTTTACATGTGAAATTTTTTTTTTTAATTGAAATTTTTTCAAAAAATTTCTTGAAGATTTTGAAATGTCGGCTTACTTTATTTTCATGAAAAAATAATATTCAACTAATCAGAGAATAAATTATGATTTTTTACAAGCGAAAATATAAATAAATAAACAATTACTAATAAATATATAATTATATCAGTAATGCAAAATATAATGCATAATTGAAAAATAATTTTTCAATCTTCTAAATAATTGATGAAAAGAAAAATATAAAATTTTTAAAAACTATTTTTAATCTAGTAGCTATAAAATTGGGACACTTTTATTATTATAATTCTAATAAAAATAAAATATTGGCTACATCAAAATATGCTATTTTTTATTACGCATATAAACAGTGTACAACATGTTACATGTGTGTATATATAGATTATTTATATATACATTTATAGATAGATATATTTTTAGATAATATATATTTATATAGTTTCTTTTTAATAAACTTGTGTAAATTACATCGTTAAAGCTATTAATTACACATTTATACTTGTGCAAGTACAATCTTATATAAATTTATTATTCTTTCATCTATTTTATCTCACAATCATTGGAAAGTTTGTTTCATAATAATAATAATATTATTAATAATTGTTGTTATTATTTTATAAGTTTGATTAGATTGTTTAGGCATATTAACTTATTTTAAACGAGGAAATCTAGTTCTACAAAATGGAAATAATTTTTTATAATTAAAAACTATCATTAAATATTTATCGTGAAAGATAAATTAAATATAAATTGAAGAATGAAATAGTTTTGGTCGTTTGTTTGTTATTTTTAATTTTTGATAATCATGTCGGTTTTAAAGGCACATTCGAAATATTAAAAATAATTATGTGTTTTTATTAAAAGTTATAGCAATAGTGTAACTTACTATTGACATCCTTCACATAAATATATCTTGTTGTATTTTACTTTAATTGTTATCAGCAATATCATCATAGACAAGTTTTATGTTAATCAAATTAAAATGATAATAATCAATAGAAAAATATAAAATATTAAAAACTCCTTTCTATAGCCAAAATCACAGAGAAGTCGCTTACTTTCTTCAATCGTACATCAGCTCATTACTTGTTTTTTTTTTTTGTATCTTTTTTCGTTTATTGTTTAGTTTTAAAGATTTTTTATGTTAGTTTGGTATAAATAATATAAATATATATTTGAATATAATAAAGCTTAAATATAAAAATCTTTATATACGTACATACACACAGTATAATTTATAAAACGTTATCATTTTTTTTATATTCGAAAAAATGTAATTTGCTAAATTTTTTATTATTTTAAACGTTCAATGTTGATAAAGTATGCGCGTATACAAAGATTTATACAGAAACGATACATTTATACATTTTGATTATAAATTCTATCTCCCTTTTACATTGACGATCGCATAAGAATTTAATACTGTAACTAATCTATTTACATAAAACAATTATAGATAACGTATGGTTAATTAATGTATATATTTTTATTTTTAATGTATCAATCATAGAGAAGATTGATTGCAGTTGAAATTAAATCAAACACTAATTGTTCCCACGTATATTTATATTCATAAACATTTTAAATATTGTGTAGATAAAAATGCCCCATTGACAATTAATAAATGTCTTTATGCGAATCGTCTGTTGAAATATGCTTAAATGTTAAAGTCTTGAAGTTAAATTTTATAATTAGATAAATAATTGAAAATTCAAAAAAAAAAAGTTGAAACTTGGAGACTTCAACTATGCACTTTATATTTTCTGTATAGTACATTTAATTAATATCTCATGATAAAAGTTTTTACAATAAAAAGTAAGGAGCACCGCGACATCCAGTCGCCTGGAAGCGTTAATGATTATATAAAAAGATTTTTTTAAAAATATAAATCCATAAATTCAGTTCCTTTTTATAGTATTATATTTTTTTTTTTTTTTTCATTAATATTAACTTGGCTTTTATCACTCACATTCATATTTTTCTATCACGAATAATTTGAAAATATGATCAGATGATAACTATAAATATATATATATATATTTATATATCAATAAAATTTTTAACATGTATGATTATTAAATATTTTGAATAAAATACACCACTTAACTGCACAATAAGGTGTATTAAATAAAAATGGATAACTGTTTTATAATTTAAAAACTCTAAAACATTTGTTGATAGAATAAACACGAGATTAACAATAAACTAAAAATAGTAATTATTTAGTTGTAATAATACGATAAATGTCAAAAAAAAATAATAAATTTAATAATTATTCTCATGCCGTATTAAATTTAAGTGGCACATCAACAATAAATTTATTTTAATCCCTTCATACGTAAAAGTAATTCAAAAGAATTAATAATAAGTTTTATTAAAGGAATAGTAAGTATTACTAAAGTAAATATATATTCTTTACTTGGTAAGTTTCGTTCTATTTGCAGCTAATTCTGCAAGACACGCCAGTGCTTCGAGATCGGGCGATGCACACCATGCTAAAAAAGTTTTTCTCATTATTAATAATTACACTCTTAAAAATTTATATGGATAAAATTTTTCTATACTTACGTTGATTTTTTTCCTCGGTAGAATTTTTCGAAGAAGTCGCTGAAGTATTACGCGTTATACTTTGTTTACGAGCTTTTCGCTTTTGGCTACCAACTAAATGAGCGTTAGTGGTCTCATCATGTAAATTAATAATTTCATTAGTTTCTTTCCGATTATTAGCTTGAGAATCGAGTTGTCCGATTTTATTTTGATTAACCGAAGTACGTTTAGTTATCGAAGTTGTATTTAATTTTTGGGGTAATTTTTTCTTTTTAGTACGTTGTTGTTTTTTCTTTTCTTGGAATTCTTCTAAACTTAATGATGGTAATGCTTCTATTTTTTTTTCCAGATTAAAATCTCTATTAATTGAAACACATAATTATTATAGATATATATATTGTAAAAAATTATAAAACTAAATAGACTTACTCGGCTTTGAATCGTTTACGTGTCCATAGCTCGTACTCTGCTTCGTCTGTTCCAGTATTTTCAGGCTTCGAAGCTTCGACTTTACCTTCAGCACTAATTTAATATCGATAGGGTATATGTTATATTAGTAATGTATAATGTTATTATATTTTACGCTAGGTATTTAGTAAATTAATTAATTAATCAATCGATAAATTAATAGTAGTAACCTCAAATTTACCTGTCAACAAGATGCTCCAAGTCACTACGTGAACTATTCCCTCCTTCACTGCTCAATGAATCAGTCTTTTCGCTTACATTGGACGATATCGAATTTCTTCTTTCCTTTGTATGCTTTTCAACGCCAGTAACTCTAAAAATATACACATTAAATAAACACCACAAAATAATAATAAAAAAAAAATTTACCATAAAAATTATTTCTCAAATAGATGAATGAATAAATAAATAAATAAATAAATTAAATTACTTGTTAAGGCCAGTTCGTCGTCGTTTATTTTGTTGTGTCGTTGATCCAATATTTCTCACCTGTTCAGCAAGAAATTTTTGATAACGTAATCCCTTGCAACTACGCTCACTTCGAAAATTACCATCTTCTGGACTATTTACTTCTATGTAAGAATTTGTGTCGCGTTTTTTTCCCTCTTCATCTAAATCAAGAGGATGCTTATTGTTGTTATTATTGCTGCTGCTGTTGTTATTAGACTCGGCATTCTCTGTCCTTGATCCACCAAACAAGTCAGCTTTACAGTCTTTTTTTTGCTCCAAGTTTATTGGTAATTCCGTATAACGTTTTTTTGGTGGTTTAGGTACAACTATTTCCTCAGTACCATTTGTTATATTTTTATTTTCTATATTTGGTAATTCGTCATCATCGTCGTCATCAACAAAGTCATCATCTTCATCATCGTCAGGAATACGATCAACATCAGCCCCTTTCTTGTGGTGAGGTTGATTTTTTTGAGGCGTAAATAATGAACTCAGTCCACCAATCTGAGATTCATCGGCTAATTTACCTGGTTGAATTGCATTGTTATTATCATTATTTGTGTAAGTGGAAGACTCGTAATTTGAGTTACTAGTAGATGTTGAATTTTCTTCATAACTCGATCCAACATCCGGCTTTTTGTTTGTTGGTCTTGTTGTTAAAGTTCTCAATGGTGGAGCGGGTAGTTTATACCATTTAAAATCTGGATTAGCATTTAGAAATGCATCTTTATACTGAAAGAAAAAAAATAATAAAATTATAATTAAACATTAAATATTTTAGGAAGAAAAAAAAAAGTTAATTAATACTTGGGAAATTTAATCTTACTTTTAAAAGTTTTACAAAGCAATAGTTTCAAAGTTTTGTAATAATTAGTGAATAAATATATAAATATATTTTTTTTTCTACAATGTCTAGATAAGATTATTAAAATTTTAATTACTTGAAGGAAAAAAAATCAATGTATATTTTTTTTTATAGATTGAAAAAATTTTATAGCTAAAGCCCGGAAGGCTTCTTATTTCTAATTACACCAAACGATGATAATAATTAATTAATAAAATTAGTTACCTCCTGAGCTAAATTAATATACGATTGTTTTTGATCTGGATGTAAAGTAGCCCACCATTCACCAAGAACCCGAGTAACAGCTCGATTTTCAAGATGAGGAAAATGCAGTCTCACTGATCCACGATGTCGTTTACAAAATATGAGAAAAGCATTCATTGGTCGCCTCGCATGATGAGCTGGTTCTTCCGGTTCTCTTTGCTCCTGAATAATTAAAAAATATCAACAATTAACGATCAACAATAAAAACAAACATAAATAATGATGACAATACTGTCAATAGTATAAAGATAATATAATAAAAAGAAAAAAATAAAACAAACATTTTATATAACAACTTATTTTTTTACGTTTTCCATTCAATAAAAAATTGCACAATCTATCCATTTTATAGATATGAATTTTTACATCGTCAACGTATTAAATCATTTTTCACACTAAATAATGAATAACAAGATAAAATATTATAATAATAGCTAGTAATATCAAAAAATTTACCCTTTCAATATAAACAAATTCTGATATTCAGAGTAAAAAAAAAAAAAAAACATAAATTTGGTATATTTATAAAATACAATTATTTCCTTAAAATAACTATGAGTGGTAAAAAAAATTTTTTTTTGTTTCACTTAATTTATCTGACATATTCTAGCATATGTTTAGATTAAAAAAATTGTTAATTACAATAATAAAATACTTATAAAATAAATTTATTTAATTAACATCAATTAATAAATATCAATAAACATAAATTTATCGTACAAGTAGTTAATAAGTATAAAAAAAATTAAAGTCAGCCATGATTGTGATTAAATACATGTTTGATTGTAAAACTTTTGTAAATACCTTCTCCATTTGATGGCCGAGTAATTTTCTACAGATTGTATAATTTTTTTTTTCACGAATTTTCCTGATTTATCACTGATGAACGTGACTTAAGACATTAATGATAATGTTTAGTAATGTCAAACATTGAGATAATAAATACCGAGTAATTGAACAAATGTTATGCTTATGATTATTGAAAAATATAAAATAAAACTACTTAATGTTAATAATAAGATATTAAAAAAATAAGACACAAAAAAAAAACGTATGACCGTCGCTTGTAAATGACGAATGTGACAGCTGGACGAACGTAAATACTACTGTCAAATTCAATAAAAATAAACATTCAAAGTTGAATTAAAAAAAAAAAAATAACGTCACCATATATTTTATAAAAATGTATTAATAAACATAATAGTATTTAGTATTATTTATTATTAATTACAATAGCTTGTCAATAATTAAACATGACATTTAAAACTCAAGGTTGTATTATATGTATTTCTTTGTATGTTATTACAGAATACACACACGTATTATATTTATTTGCCGCATCTCATAGTACGTATTATTATTAATATTTTTTTTTTTTATTGAATTGAAATCTGTGGAATGGAGTAGATAATTATTAACAGTAAATAAACACAATTGTTCTAAATACTTGAATAGATGTACTAGATTAAATTATTATCACTAATAAATATTTAAAACAGTGACAATTAAGCGTAAGAGAAAACAAAAACATTGATAAATAATCAACCTACTCACCGTCACTTGATCGTTGGCAGCCATTTCTGATTTTCACTTGACAATTCACTCAACGGCGCATAATAAAAGATAAAGCTCTCTCCAAGTCTTGTGTTTTGGTCTCTCTTACTCATTTAGTTTTATATTTTTCCTTCTTTATTTTTTTTTATTATGTATGCATTGATACTCGCTCTGTCACTCACATTACTGACTTATTTTTCCTCTTTCCCCGCAGCAAAACAATTTTGACACATGATTCTATTTTTTTTCTATATAATACACAACTTTTTTTGTCTCAACGCGCAACGCGACAAGTGTCCTAGTGACAAAGGTTTTAGTGTATTCTAGTGTGTGACTTGAAGCAAGAAATAAATTAATAATAAAAAAAAAATTATTTTCAAATTGCCGGTTATCACTTGAATTATAATAATAATAATAATAATAATAATAATATTAAAAATAATAAAAATATTTTTTTAAAATTAAATTATCAGTTAATTCTCTTCACTTTTTATACGGACGATAAAAACGTCATACAAAATTTATCTTTCATCAGAAATTATAACTGATAGCTCTTGAAATAGTAATAAATTTTGGAAATCCCAGTCAAGAGTTATTTATTAAATTTTTAATGTATTCAAATTTTCGCGGTATTAAAAAACCAATGCTGCCAATAAATGCCCGCGCACTACCGCCACCTACATTAAGCATAGTAAGCTACTGGTCGTCGGTTAAAATGAACACCGAACTTTCACTCGTATTGTTTCCGGTGAGGAAGAAAATGGGATTTCTTCTTTCTATTATAAAAAAATATTTGTAAGTATGTATTTAATAGTCAATATTTCAAATACAGTGATAGATAGTGAATATATATGCCGATATGTGTGCAAATGAAATTATATTTAAATAAATATCGGAAACGTGACATGAATTGGTTATTTGTAGCAGAATTGAAAGGTCGAGCTGTTGTACTAAACCTATCGCCCACGGGAAAAATCGTACGACCCATAAATATGATGAGTTTAAAATTCCTCGAACAAAAGCTTTTCGATGATATTACCTTTACGTATTTTATATTTATACATTTATATTGAAATATTATATTATTTTTAGTTTACGTAGCTATCGAACTAGGAAAATTCATGACTGCTGAAAACGAAGTTATTATTTCAATATATATCGTATTACAAGACTCGTTTTTTATATAAAAATGCCAGGAACCAGATGATGCCATAAATGTTTTTTTATTCTTTTCTTTTTCACTTTATCCTGGGTTGTAAAATTAAATAGAATATTAGAGGGCCAAGTGTCTTTATTGTAAAGATTAACGGTTATTGCTTAAAGCTGGACTAATATCTCATGATTTTTTTACTCATGAGCTTAGTCTTACGTTGTAATTTATTTTTTATCATCCCTATTGCTATTTCGTTATACTTTATTCAATAATTTTTCATATTTGTAATGAAAAAAAATTCTATGTGAAATAAAATTTGCATTATGAGATTTTAATGAGTATCAAAGTAATAAGTAAACTAATATACAAAGTGTTAGCAAATGTAGTGATTATTTACATTAAAAAAGACTATTCGGCAACTGAAATGGAAGTAGATTTCATTTTAATGATAATAATAACAATTTCTTATTAATCAAAAAAATTACAATTAGATTTTAACGAATGATTTTTTTTGTAATCATTACAATTAAAGTTTACACAGTTATTGCATTAAACTCCGCCCCGAGGGGAAAAAACTACCTAATGTAAAAGCTCCTATAGATGCTCATGTACCAGTAATTGATCACTCCATGTATTTGTATATATTTATATTTGAATATAGATATACAAATTCATGGAGTGATCATATACTAGTACATGAGCATCTATTGGAGCTTTTATCTTAGACGTCATTAATATCAAATTAATAATCAAATGTGATTGATACTGCTAATCTTAGTTAAATTATTCAAAAATAATCAAATATATAATTTATATTTATACTATGAATCTATATCATATTTATGCTATAAATCCATATCATATTTATACTATAACATAGCAAATAATTCTACACAGAAAAAAAGATTTCTTGACTGGAGAATAAAATTCTTGGCTCAAGTAAATTTTCGGGTGTCCGAAGGAAGACCGAACTTGTCTTGGCCGAAGTAAAAATTTTTCTTGAAATTCTATTCTTGGTGGAAGTCATTTTTCTTAATTCAAATTATCATAAATATTTGATACAATAAATTTTTTATTGAATCAAGATTTTTAGATACTTTAGGGAAGCAGCGCCACCTACTTTAGCTGAGAAAAAAATTTTCTCACCTTGAGAAAATTTTTCTCTTGAATATTTGATACCCATTTGAGATTATTTTAGCACGCAATTATACATATTGAATGAAAGAAAATGGTTCAATATTATTTGATCTTCCCATTTGACATGTTCGTCAATAATAATATTAATGAAAATTTATTATCGAGATATTTAATTTTTTGGAGCAAGAGAAAAATTTTCTCAAAACAAGAAAATTTACTTGATTTAAATAAATTGTCTTGTACTGTCAGTCGAATTTAATACTTTTGCAGTACTAGAAAGTTTTATTTCGATTGAGATTTAAATTTTCAAGTATCAATTGTTATTTTTCAACAGCCAATGTAACTGTCATTGAAATATAAATTACTTCTACTCGGTTGTTCGGTGTTAAAAACAGAGAAGATATGAAAAAGTATACGGGATAAAGATTCATGCTTTATCAATATGGTTTTTATTTTATTTAATAGATATTTGTATATTAAATAATAAGTAATATATAGCATAACGAATGCTGAAAGTATATATGCAAGTTTATGAATTAAATCATAATATTTACCGTATACCGCACAGTGATCCACAGTTTTCATTTGTATTATATGCATTATCGTGACGTTTATTTAAATGCAAATACATTTTATTAATATATTTAATCTTCCAACGTTGTTTGATCCATAATGCAGAATCAAATAGATTTATTTTGGTGTAATATTAATGGTGTTTTGTTGTAATGACAATAATATGCGAATCGAATAATTGGAAAACGGGTGGCAATGCAAAATTTTTGTACTTTATTTTTATTATCGAGTTCACAAGGATTCAATATATTATTACAAAAATATTTTTTATAACAAATATAGTCGGGTTCAAAAAATCAAAATTAAATAAAATTTATTGTCAATAATCTTTTACGATAATAGGTAATTTGTAAGTATAACATAAAATGATCAGTTTTGGTAAAAACTTGATATTTTTTTACTACATAATTTGCTTTTTATCCAATAAATCTAGTAATCTTATAAGATATACCTAAACTTTGTGGACTATTTTAGTTGATGCAAAATTTATTCAAGTAAGCCGATCCAATCTAAAGATATCTTTGATTAAACTTTAATTATTTTAAAAATTTAATTATTTTAAAAAAATACTTTTCAAGTAAATTAATCAATTTGAATAAAATTCCTTACAATTATTATAAGATTTTATCGGGTCTTTAGATTTTATTGAGTTTCCGAATTTATTTGAATTATAGCATAGAAGATATTAATAATCTATTTTTATCTTATTTAATGCACAACTTTGAAACTAATCAACTGATTGTTTCTAAAAGCTAACGCGATCCAGTTTTTTTGAAACACACACATTGTTCTGAAAATAGAGTTGCTTTTAAAGGCTTCGAAACGTCGATATCCGTCGAAAATTTGATTTTACAAATTCATGTTGGAATTAACGTCAACATCACATCAATGTTTTTTTTA